GCCCTCCAGAGCCCAGGAGGAGCGGTAATGGAGCGTGCCCTCCTCTGTCAGCGTCGCCACCAGCACCCGCCCGTACAGGCAGAGGTAGTGGCTGAAGTCTTCCTTGCGCAGCCTGTCCAGGCACATCGGACAGACGGGCCCTGCGGCGGAGCAGGCCACGACGTGTGAGCGACGCCGCAGCGGCGGCTCAGTGCGGTGTGAGCCAGTGCCAGAGTCGAGGACCGGGCGCCGCTCAGCGCCGGAAGGTGCGGTGCTTGAGCGCGGGTGACGTCGCTGGCAGTTAGTGGCGTCGAAGTAGTGATATAGCCGCTTCCCGAGTGGCGTGCGACGGGCAAAGTAGTGGGATGGGACACGGACAGAATAACATGTCGTCGGCTGGGGATAATGCTGCGGAACCCATGCGATTCAGTAATGACTTTGTTGACTACTGAAATCCGCGATATTCCAAAACGCATGCTTAGAACGTGAGTAGATAGTTTGCACCCTGACGATGCCACCACTTGCTCCCTAGTACCTGTCACACACTGAAGTCAGTCCAGGTGGCCGATTTTACCCTGCTATTTCACCGCTGGCTCCTCGCCACCACATTAATGACATGCTTCACGTCTCTCACCGTCGTCGTCCTGGTCGTCCTTCCTCTCCTCGTCCTCTCGGCCGTCGGCCGCCGGTGTGTCCTGCTCTGCACCTCTGAAGCCGAGGGGCGGCGCCGCCAGACGAGGGGCCACGCCCTCCGGGCCCTCCGGCAGCTGCGGTCTGTCGTCCCGTAGGAAGAAGCCGCGGAACTCGGACCCGGCTGACAATGGACCGGGTTGGCTGTGAGGCACGAGCGTCGACTGCACGCACCGACAGGAGAGCTCGTCCGGACCGGGTTGCCGTGTACACGCGGTGACCAAGACACTGGAGCTGTCGACTGCCTTCGTCATCACCGTTTTGAGAAGTCTCGTCTAGCGGCCGCACTCATGACCGATACGCTGCGAAGCAGACAGCTCGTGCAACAGACAGTGAGAGCTTTTAGGCGAGAAACAGCGTGCGGCGGGCGGCAGCGGAAGCGGTGCCGACCAACTCACCGCTCAGATGATAGCTGCTCGCCGGCAACCCGGACTGCCACGGCTTGATCAGCTCCGGTAATAACTGCCTGTTCGGCGAACACGCCTCCAGCCACATTCCAGATCCCAATGTGCACGCAAGCGGCGTGCGATGTTCATCTTTACCGTAGTTGGCCATCCCCGGTCTACGTGGACGACACTCGTCCACCAGATTCACGAGAACAAACAGCCAGCTTGCCCGGTATTACAGTGGTCCTCATTTTCTAGCACGCGAATCCACATAAACCGGCAGAGAAACATGCGGGACTATCGGCGCAGGCTGATAGGACATGGCCGTATTAATAGCCGTCATGCTGAAGTAGACCCCATGCAACGAAGGCGACGGGCTGAGCAATGTAGCTTGTCACGCACAAAGATCAACGCCAGGCGCGTGCCTGCTTCAAGATAACCCAGTGAGCATTGCAGGGGGCCAGCCTGGCGCGGACCTATCATTGCTCAGCCTCGCACAAAACATCGCCGCATTCAACGTGTAAAGGCCTCGAGGCAGGCGGCGGCACTGCACTCTGCCGCAGCATAGTCGACAATAAAGTGCTACTGACAGCCATTGTTGCATTTATTGTCGATGTTACAGCGAGTAAACGTCTCCGCTATATATCAATCGACCGGGTTGTGCACAAAGTTCACTGAAAAGCGTGATTCAGCACACGGCAGAGATGCCGAGTGAAGTGACAGCTCAAAGCGCAAGCAAAGCGTAGCGGCTCAACAGCTGATAACGCGATATCCAGCAGCGTGATTGAGGTAACTTCACTCGGCTCAGTCTCATCTATATCCTTCATGGTATGATTACCAAAGAACAAACCGGACAAAACATTTACAAACAGAACATCGTGGCGACCGGCCGGCATTGTAAGGAGTCAAAAGCTCGTGTCCATTCAAAGACGTGTGGTGCTCGGGTGGTAACCAATAGCGTCCATAACCGTTCTTAGCACCAAACCGCGATCACACTGACAGGGACGCGCGAGACGCAGCTAGAAACCCTCGATGCCATCGATGTCTCATTAATGACACAACCCATATGAAAAAAAATTACAGAAGACTGCTGTCTGTGTCTTCCCCAATAATCACAAGCGTCCTCAGTCCTTGTCGTTGGCAGACAGCGCGTCCTACTGAGCTCAGCAGGGCAGTGCGGCACAGGCAGCGTTACCTCCTTGCTGGTCGTTCTCGAACACAGGCAGTGGAACCGGGTCAATGGGCCACGGTAGAACTGTGTCGCAGTTGACGTCCAGGGCGTACGACTGAAGGGACCCAAAAGCAATTCAGTTGCGCCATACAGTATCGTCGGACGACAGAGCACACTTTCGATCAACCAACTTCGACAGCCGACCGCAGAAAGAAGAGCAGAGCCATGATTCTATGCTCGTAAATACGGTCTTGCTGTGCAATTTATTCGGACCACACGGTAGAGAAATATATTCAGGTGATATGTGGCTAGATGAAGGTTTTGATTTATCAGTCTGAAAACAACTGCATAGTTCTAACGTGTTTTGCATAGGTTTGCAGCCTGATGCAGATTGATGCCGTTTGCGTAAGGGTTTTTTTTCTCACCGTTGCTCCGGGGCGAACTCCGTCTGGTAATAATCATATACGCTGGCCACCGCCCTTTTGGCATCTTCCACCTCCTGCTCCCGCTGTACGCTGATGCTGACTGAAACAGCGCTCCTTTCCATCCAGCGAGTCGAAGTAGAAGACCACCTTGTTGTTGTTGACCCTCCCAGCGCTTCAGACCTGAATGGAGCTGTTCCGGTCGTCAGAAAACATGATAAGCCTCCGAAAACGGTAGGTAACTCCTACAGCTTATCTAAAGAGCCTGGCAACTCAGATCAAACCCCCATGTCATGTTGTTTCATGTGTCAATATTGCTAGACAAAGAATGTATTCCTAGTGTTGGCAGAACTAATCAATTAGACGACCCCTGCTCGTTAAAAAACGACTACTCAGATCTGACGACTGCTAGTGGAAATAGACAACTCAGATCAGACAATCTGCTAGTTAAAACAGACACTCTTATTCGACGAACTGCTGGTGAAAACCGAAAACCCAGATCTAGCGACCTGTCTGTGAAAACAGGCAATTGTGGCAACGGCAAGGACATATGTCTACTATATGCCACCAAATGCAACTACCCAACTCGACGTTCTGCTTGAGGTCATTCAGACTTCCCTTGTTGGGAATGAACCCGCTGACCATGTCAACCTCGACCACAGCCATATTGGTTTCGCTATCCTCCTTCAGGTAGCTGACGCAGATGTCTTAAAGAGCACAACATTGTTCTGTTATCATGACAACCAGGCAGGCATGCTGTCATGTGTAAAGCCTGTTGAGCGAGAGATGCGTTCGAGCACTTTTTAATTGGATTAGGCACTGCAGTGTCTTTGATGCTTTCACAGCAACAGGAACACTGCAATCTGGTCAAGAGCCTCCTCCCATGACATTCCCTCGCATCGCACTACATATTTAAGATCAAACCGAGCAGAGGCTGACGAGTGGTCTGATGACCAGGGTGAGACAGGAGACAGCTAGAGGAAGTCCCTAGGCGCGGTCACTCGTCTCACCTATGGTATGCTTCAGACACTTCCCGCTGGTTCATTTTGGGCTTGGCAGGTCCACGTTGATCGTCAGTGCGTCGTTTGGACTGGCTGTATACACGTTGTATTTCAACGAAGCCTGGCGAAACAACCGGCTGTGTTACTTGTCATGCGCGTGGTGCACGTACGTCGTCATGCATTGCTGGAGCTAATTTGTATGGTGCAGCAGAAAAGGGCATGTCTCGTGGTTCGCATTCCCCGCGTGTTATCATTGAACTGAAGGTCATTTACTCAGGCTCTCGGTGAATCACATCAGCCGTCGAACAGCTGACGCGATAACGCTCTAAAGAACACGGTGTTCAGCCCTCACACAGTTTAGTGACATACATTCTCAGCAGATGCATTCGAGGCTGGCTCATGCTGTACCTCCTCACTGAAAATGGACAAACTGGTGATCCGGAAGAAGGGCATAGTTTCGCAACATTAGTTGAGGGGAGGCGCAGGCCACCCCCCCCCCCCCTTTTCAACGGAAAAAGCAAACTACGCCCCTGCATGGACGCCTTACAGCCTATTATCGGCACGAACGGACCGGAATGAGGACACGTCTGGCACCTAGACCGCACTGCCGGCGGTGCATTCGATGCCGGCTCTGATGAGAACTAGGGTACATCTGGCACCATCTGAACTTCCCGTGCGTGTGACCCGCTTTAGTGCACATCATTTATCATAAAGTTCCTACTGCGGGTATGCCAGCAACTGCAAGTATGCTAGCACAAGCCAGCAGCACAGATGCTCTTCCTTCCTCTCCCCATTTCTTCTCTCTCCCTCTCTCTCCTCTCTCTCTCTCTCTCTCTCTCTCTCTCTCTCTCTCTCTCTCTCTCTCTCTCTCTCTCTCTCTCTCTCTCTCTCTCTCTCTCTCTCTCTCTCTCTCTCTCTCTCTCTCTCTCTCTCTCTCTCTCTCTCTATCTCTCATCTCTCTCTCTCTCTCTCTCTCTCTCTCTCTCTCTCTCTCTCTCTCTCTCTCTCTCTCTCTCTCTCCTCTCCCTCTCTCTCTCTCTCTCTCCCGCTCTCGCTCTCTCTCGCTCTCTCTCTCTCTCGCTCTCTTTCTCTCTCGCTGTCCCTCTTTCTCCCTCGCTTCTCTCAATCCTTCTCGTCCCATCGTAATTCTCCCGGTTGCAGCTGAACACTGACCTGACCTGGGCGTAACCAGTATCATCGGGGCCTCACTTTAGTTTGCCAGAGGTGCTCCTCCACTGACCTGCACCAGGGCGCAGCCGGCGCCACCTCGACCTTACCATAGTTTACCAAGCAGGACTTTACTTCTGACCCGCACAAAGGCGCAGCCGGTACCACCCCGACCTTACCTTGATTTAACACGGTTGCTCCACCACTGACCTGCACCAGGGCGCAGCCGGTGCCCTGTGCTCTGACTTGGACGTGACCTGGCAGCAGTGTGACGTCACGAGTTTGCATCAGTAGCAGATTGTCCGCCGTTACGCTGATGACGTCATTCAGCGAGCCGTCATCGGAGACGTGTACTCGCAGGTCGGCGCTGCTCGAGCGAGGCAGGTCGGCCGAGAAGGCGGCCAGTGCCTCCAGCGCCAGCACCGTATCCTGCCACGACCGCCCGCCAGGTGAGCAGCGCACAGGACATTGAAGAACCCATTCGATGAGAGTGAGCCGGACACAGGGGTACGACAGACCCCTCCAAGGGTAGTGAGCACAACACATGGGTATGACAGTCCCCTCCCTGGGAGTGAGCAGGACACACAGGTAAGGCAGAACCCTCCGAGGGGTAAACAAGCCATACAGATACAATAGACTTATCCGTGGGGAGTGAACAAACCACACAGGTACGACAGGCCCCTCCAAGGGTAGTGAGCAGAACACATCGGTATGACACTCCCCTCCCTGGGAGTGAGCAGGACACACAGGTACGGCAGACCCCTCCGTCGGGAGTGAACAGGACAAACAGGTACAACAGGCCCTTCTGAGGGGGGAAGGGGCAAATAAGCCACACATGTACGACAGACAGCAGGCAATTTGTGGCAGTGTCGTGACCAGCTAGTCCGGCAGACACATGACGTCCACCCCAGTGATTTCTATGACCTGCGTGGACACGAAGCCGCCGCGACTGTTGCGCTGCTGGGTGATCCAGCGCACGGCACCCAGCGCATCGCTGAAGTGTTCGCTGCTGTCGTCACCGGCTTTCTCCAGCAGCTTCATCGTCAGAATGTTATAGGCACCCATCTCCACGCTGAGCGCCCGATTCTCGTCAGACCCTGGTGACATACGCCACGATAAGGTTTTGAAAGTACGCTGGTTAACCGCTGTTCAGGATAGACCAGGAATTGAGGAAGGTGTGTTCAGTACTGTACATTCAGTAAAATGCGGCCGAATGGGGTCATATTTCATATTTGCTCACTGCAGAGTTTCGTCAAAACGCACGAAGGAGTACAGAACACACACAGCTGTGCACACTCAGCCTTCACCAACGCATTCTGCAAGTATATTGGGACAATTGTGAAAGCACAGCAGCTATTACAAGCTGATTAACTAGCCTTCGGACGTCTACAGCACCGCTCCCTCCAGCGAGTGTTACTGTTGTGCTGGTGCGGCGGGATGACTCTCACCTTCGTTGCGCCAGTACACCAGACCCTCCTCCCTGGTGGCGCGGCTCTTGAGCTCTGTCAGACCCAACCGCGCCTCGTCCAGGCGGCCGGCCACGGCGCGCGCGTGCGTCAGCAGCGTCAGCGTGTACAGGTCAGAGCTGATGTCCTGGGGAAGGCACATGGCGGCTGATGAGCGGCGGCCAACATGACATTCCTCGGACGGTGAGCGGTGGCTGACATGGCATTCCACGGAGGGTGAGCGACGGCCAACACGGTCCCGGCAGTAGCTAACCCACGGACGGTGAGCGGCCGCCAACACGGTCTCGGAGGTAGTTATCCCACGGACAGTGGGCGGTGTCCAACACGGTCCCGGCGGTAGCTAACCCACGGACGGTGAGCGGCGGCTAGCACGGTCCTGGTGGTAGCTAACCCACGGACGGTGAGAGGTGTCCAACACGGTCTTGGCGGTAGCTACCCTACAGCGCTAAGTCGCTCACGTTGTTTTGCATACAAAGCAACAGGTGTAATAAGAACTAATGGAATGTGTCCATGCACAGGGTGGTAGACATAAAATGTGAGCTGTTTAAACCGATGTTGTGGTGCTTAATCGGACGCCACACTACATAGTGCGGTTTGGCATAGTGCATTCGTCCATTGGGAACACAGCCACAACCAGACACCGCCAGAGAACGGGGGGAGGAGGCAGGCTGCCCTTCTTCCCCCCTGTAAGCAAAGCATGTTTTACTAAGCACCATAGAGGACTCCTTTATTTATTTTATGGTGAGCACTCTGCGAGCTCCGACCCTATCCAACCACCTCTCCCTATTGAAGAATTTCTTGCTGTGCCCTGACTGTAACGGTGTAAGTTACTTCAGCTATGGGTCTGTTTATCGCTTTCTGCACATAACATCCGTTTCTGAAACATTTTTGTCTGGTATTCCGTTGTATGGTGAGGAAAAAAGGAGCGAGTATTATTGTTACAGCAGGTGAAAGCCATTATTACTCTGGCCACAAGAAAATTTCCTGGTTAATTTCATGCAACAGTCGTTCTCGGCTGTTCTTAGGCTCGTCCCGCGGACCCTACGGGCTTGTTGCGGGGTACCAAGCCAAAGGCTAGATCATGAGGATGTAAGGTAAACCAAATGTGGAATATTACGTTTGTATGTACGAACTGAGTGGCTGAGCACGGTACCTAGTGGCAATACCTCAAAAAGGTTTTGGAACCATGTAGGCCAAAGCCACTAAAATAAGATGAGGCATCAAAAGCAAGGCTCTAGCATGTATCGCACAGTGAAGAAATGCCGACCTACACAAATAACCAACGCAGTTGCCGCGCTCTTCAAACTCATTAGCTCAAAACTCAACTGCCGATCTATCTAGAGCCAATCACGGCGCCCAACTCTTTTCCAGATACTGCCTACAGAAATCTGCCTATCTGGCTGCCTGCCAGGTACTTTTGCAGACACAACCTCCAGCGATCGCACGTGTCTCTGAGCCGTTGACTGACCTGTGTCAGGCAGCGGAAGGCGCCGTGGACGGTGTTCTCGCCCAGCTCGACCCCCGACTGCAGCAGCGCGATGGCGATGTAGGCCGTCAGCGCCTGCTGGCCGCCGGACCCAACGCCGCCCTGAAACACGTCAGCGTTGCTGGACCCCGCAGACATCGGCTGGGTCCACGCAGGGAACAACGGCTATCACGTGAGGATCGGGGCAAACGGCACTGGACTTCGCCATTGGCGGACGGGTCAGAGGACAACCGGCCAAGGGTGACAGCATGCAAACACGGCTGCACAAGTATGAGTGGCGAGTATGCAACACGAGAAACCACACTTGGATCCCTCCGTCAATCAGCCGATGTAGTGCGTCCCACCTTCCCCCCAGATCCAGCGGTAAGTACATGTGCTTTTCAATGCGCTCAGTTGTAGGTACTTGGTTAAAGGTAGTTTGAAGGCGAACATATGACAGCGTGCCACGGGGGCAAGGGAGTCAATACAGACAGATACAAGATATTACCTTCATTTCTTTGTGGAGGACCGTCCCCACAGATGGGAAGCAGCCGCTACCCAATTGATGGGATTCGATCCACCGCACGCTTCCTTCCAGGTCAGCCTCGTCGATGAAAATAAACTTCTTCGCGTCACCGAACGACTTGATGACAAAGCCGGTCAGCCACATGGAGCCTGAGTCGTCCGACTTGCCGAATGCCGAGTACGATTTGTCCTCGTGACGGTAGCCCAGCTCGCGCTGGTAGCCTGGGGCGAGACACGGGTCACGAAGGTCACGGTAACGGGCGCGCTGGAAGTCTCACGCGCTGGATGTCTCACCAGTTTTGGGCTCAGCTGTCCATGAAGGTCTCCTAGAAGGGGATCTATCTTAAGAAAATAGGTTTACACCAAATAATATATCTGCTCTGGTGGTGCGAACTACCATGAGCAGTTTAAATCAAAATACTTGTTCGGTTGCATGATGCAAACTACCAAGAAACGACAGCTTGGTTCTGGCACATGCATGATCATTTGGATTCGCAATTTGGTATGTGAATCCTGTACTAGTTAGGAATTCAATAATAAACGTTACATAGAACGGAATAAAACGACTTCAGGGCACGACGCTGACAACGATATGTCAACTTTTACTAATTTGTACCGGACATTTGTGTGCTAGTGCAATGTTATTCCCAACCTGATCAACCAAGTACCTGATTTCATAAATCTGGCAAGTTTATCCTTGATTTGCTCAGTCAGTTGACCAACTGCAGTCAAATACTTCATGACGTGAATGTTGGGAGCGAAGAGCACCATGTTCTGTTCGCCGCAACCGGTTGGCTGCCGTACCAGCGACTCCAGGTTCTGAGAAGTACAGAAAGCTTGAACATATCGGCTTTGGCTTAAATTGGCACAGTTAACGCATCCATGATAATGAATGGAATCACATTAATGACGTAAACGAAAGTGGCTAAAGTAAAAGTGGGACCGTAGCCATACTATACGCAGCTGGGAGGATAACGATGTGCCAACAGAGAAGGCCATGACTTCTACAACAGATTACTCGACAACTACTTCAGCCTCACGCGGATATATTACGTCGAACACATCCAGCGAACATCTGTCATTGAGTATAGTGCGCAAGTGACGTACGTCAATGCTGGGTCCCAGCAGGTCTCCGACGACGGCGATCTGAGCCCGCTCGGAGTCGGGCACCAGGTCGGCCGGCAGAAGCAGCGGCCAGTCAACCTCCCGCCTATTCGGTCCGCCCGACAGGTCGGCACCCTCCGCTGCCGGCGTACGGGTCGGGTCAGGGAAGCGGTACCCAAACAGGGCGAGCCCTACTGCGGCACAGGACACGTCCGTAGCCATGCGGCGGGACGATGAAAGCCGCGTCGCGATCAAGGAAACAACGCCAACACACGGCTGAGCCTACGTGCGTCCCAACACCGCCAGCAACGCCGCGCCCTCCAAACCGTCACTAGCCTGCAGCTACACCGGCACCGGCCTTAGTCGTCCCGTTAACATCCGCTTTGGCAGCGCACTCACGGCTGATGCACATGAAGAAGGAGTGGATGACTTCACGCTCGAAGCCCTCCGGCTCCACCAGAATCGGCCTGGTCACGGCGTCCCTGCGCAGATGGTAGTCGTGTTGGCTGCATGCATCCACGGCAAAATGGGATATCGGTTGAGAGTAGTGACGCCTTCAGATTTCATTGAATCAAAAAATGAAGGCATTTTGATTTTTTCAGCAAATATCTGTATGTCATTAGAGGACGTGCATGCAATAGGAAACACTACCGGTTCATTTGCAACTTTTAACACCCCACGCAAGCTAGGGTGTCTGGGCTCATTTCTCGGTTACGCACACCTGCCGTGTTTAAAGTTGACTCACACGGCGTTCGCCACGCCCCGTACTCCCGCAACGCGTAACGCCACACACCTGAAGTAGGGCACCACCTCTGACCCACACTCGGCGGGGAAGTCGGAGTACACTTCAGCTACCACGGTGATGTTAACGTCGCCGAGCTGGCCGGGCCGCAGCCGGTACGGCACGACCTCGGCCACGCCGGTCGACACGCACGAGGTCACCACCGGCGCCGAGAGCGTCTCGAACTCGTCTGACGCCACCAGCGTCAGCTTGACCTGCGGCCACAGGCGCCGGTGCATGTTTAGCGTCCACAGGGCCGGCGGGATATCGCGTGGAGCCAGTAGTGTCCGAGCGGACAACTAGTAAAACTAGCGATGGATTCAGTCGTATCCAGCATGTGGCGTATGGTGACGCCGAGCACCGACAGAGATAACACGAGCGAGCAAGATAACACGAGCGGAACAGAGCGCTCAGGAGAGCAGCGAGGACCCACCGGCAGCGCCTCTTCGTTGTAGTTGAGCACCGAGACCTTGAGCACGAGCGTCTCGCCGCGTTTCACCGAGTAGGGCAGCGTGTAGCTGACGAAGAACGGCTGGAAGCTGGTGAGGGAGGCCGACGGCGCCACGCCAAGGCCGGCCATCTCTGAGCTGCACACGGCTCCGCCTACCCACTCGGTGATGGTGTCCGGTACTTTCTGTGTCAGCGTCACCGAGCCGTCGTCCCTGCCCGGTGCGGAGGTGGCCGGCTGTGACACTAGCCAGGCGTCCGAGGAACGGCACATAATCGTAGCTTGATGGTGTAACTGTCCTAGTTCCTGCATGTGGCATGGTGAGTTTTAATGCGAACATGACTAACGGCACAGAATCGTGACTTGATGGTGTAGCTGTCCTAGTTCCTGCATGCGGCATGGTGAGCTTTAATGCTGAAAAGGCAAGGAATTGTGACTTGATGGTGTAACTCTGTCCTAGTTCCTGCATGTGGCATGGTGAGTTATAATGCCGAAAACGACCGACGCTTAAGGTATAAGAATGTGTTGTGTAAAGGGGAGTATCAAGAAATTGGTGCTCTGTATGATGATAGTGCTCAAAATATGCGACTTATTACCTGTCATGTGTGATCTGACCATGCTCATGACGTATGCTAGTTAATGCATATTTCTGGTTACATTTTGAAAATAAAAACGCATCATGCCCCCCTCCTTAAAACAAAATTATGATTTTGTTTTGGTTGCATTATCGTGTAAGCTGTTGAGGCTTTCAACTAATCGGTTAATGTGCATCCAACATACTACTGGCTGGTTACATGTACATGTGAGCATACTCAAACGACATGAAACGATAGGTAATCAGGACAGCTTTGAACAAACCCGTGAACAGCTTCAGAGTACGAGGATCAACGGTTCAATTCCACATTCAACGCAGCCTCGTCACAGTCAGTGCGCCCATGTTCGTCCACTGACCCGACCGTGTGGAGATCGAACAGCCACGTCTCGGGGAAGTAGGTGCGAACCACGTCAGGCACCTCGGACGGAGGCGGCTCCGGGGCCGATCCGGGAGGCGAATCGAGCACCGGCGTCGGGCCTCCTGGTAACCGGAGGAACGTTAGCACGTCACCTCAGCGCTTCTAATACATTATTCTTTCCTTCCTAGATGTTAGCTTAAAAATGCATTGCTTTGTTTTCCGGACTGAACTTAGCGACAGTTAAGTGAGTTCGCAATACATTAGATAGCTAGACGAGTCGCGAGGGAGTCATTGATCATGACCGTCATCATCATCGATGGTTAACGGCGGCTTGACGCCCCCCGTCGGCTCAAGGCAAGGCACCGTTTGGTGACAGAAAGGCAGCGGCGACGCCAAAACACTACAACTTGTAACTTTGTACCAAGCAAGATAAATGGGCAGCGATAAGCGCTCCATCACAACAAAGACGAAACATACGGTGACTTGCATGCACCAGGTAAGCAAGAATCGATGCATGCCTTTAGCTCTGTCCGCGTGGCAACTCAACTCGTTCTCGGCGTGCTGTGAGAATGTTTGCCCAAGCATGCAGCAGGCGGATCAGCTATGAGTCAAGATTTCATATTGGTGGAGGAGTGCATGAACATTATTGAGACGCACGATGAAAATAAATGCGGCGCGGATATGGCAGTTTAGGACATGCATGACGTAATCATTGACGAGAATGTTGAACCGTGTGTGACCAAGGACTGAAAGTGATGTATATATTTTAGGACGTACTCCACTTTCTACACTAGCTGATGCAAAATTAATGCAGCTTGCTCAATCACATTCAGCCGCAAAATCCATCTTTCCATGGCTTTCAATGCTCGTGCGCAATGATTAACTGGAGGCGAAACACTGCTGGCAGCCGGGGCCGGTGTCATGGCTGAGCCAGCGACCGTCTGTACAGATGCAGTGGAAGCGATCTGTACAGATGCAGTGACCTTCATCGCATTGCACGGACGCAGGCCTCGCGAGCAGCGGATGTGCGGCAGACGCGGTGCAAAGCGGTCGGCGCTTCCGCGGGCCGACGCCGGCCGGCACCGACCGCGGCCCGGCCCAGCCCGGCCCCGAGGGTGAGCTCACGAGCGAGGCAGCGTTCAAGAGCTGGGCCGGGACCAGCCGGCGCCGGCCCAGTCGGGTCACCGCGGTCGGCGCCGCCGTTTGCTGGTAGGGCAAGCGGCCGGGCCGGTGAAGTGGGCCCGCGGACGCAGAGGACGGGCCGTCTATCTACCGGGCGCAGCCAGCTGAAACCGTGGCTCGCTGGCGCTGGCCTCAAGATCGAACGCCGCTGTGCGCATCAGTGGACAGGAGATGTCGTCGCAGCTCCACAGCGGGTACGAGGAGCGGCGGCTGAAGCACGGCCGCGTCTCCACCAAGACGTCGGACAATGTCAGCCAGCCGCCGTCCTGAAACCGTCCGACGTCGACAAGCCGCAGATCAGGAGACGTTCATCGCCGCTCGGCTTCTCTCTTGAAAGCTGCCGATGCCAACCGCATACTGCGCTCTGAAGTCGGCCAGCGTCATCTGTCCCATCCCGCCTTTAGGTGGTCACCGTCGAAAGACTTGCGGTTAGCACCGTCACGCGTTGACATGGGGGCGCCGACATCGACCCTCAGAACCATGCTGACCACTGAATACCAGTCAACTGGAGATTACAACGGCTGCCATCCTGTTAGACCCCAGACATTGCGAGTGTTGGTAGACAGGATGAAAAAAACTTTTAATTTACTGTATATGATCGGTGACAAAAACTGCCATTTTTGCAAACCAATTGATGACAAAATTGCGAATATGAAAACGAATTGCAGCAGACAAGACCATACTACAGCACACTACCCCAGCTCGACGAGACTAAAAGCTTACTAATGGTCTGTACTTGCTAACGCCTGCAGTGTGAGTGCATGTCGAAATGACGTTTCGCTGTATGAGCAAGTTTAGCCATAAAATGCAGCTTTGGAAAGATAAGTATGTGTGATGCAAAATGCGGCTTTGAGGTAAGAGCCCGATCATCTCTCACGTAGGCCTCTCGCATAGCCCGTTGCACCTCAGACTTGGCACACTGATCGGTAGACAGGGATCAAATAGAATCCATTTGGTTGTCATCATACTACATATAAAGCTGACTGAGGGTGCTAGAGACATTCAAAAATGCCGTTTGCATCCGTTGATACCGATATTGCATGGGTTTTGCTCCAAATAATTGGGATCATGTTAGGAAGTGCGAGTTTTGCACCGGCAATGATCATGACAAGATAATGGAGGTCGCCAACGCCTTCAGCTGATTGTACGATGACGTCACAAAACCAAAAATAACATTGTTTCAGGTGCTTGAAAAAACATATCATCGATAAGTGCAGGGCTACAGGGATGCAGTTTTGCAAAGTACGTAGGGGTGAGGGGCGCAAGGAGAAGGGCGGGGGTGCAGGAAGTAAAAATGTCTGAGCCTGACTCCGAGATGCCACAAAAATGTTTTTCTTCCCCAGATATGTGGCTGACAGCAGGGGTGTAGTCTCTCATCATTAATTTTTGGGTGCTGAACCCCTAATTTACGACAGATGGAAAATAATGGATACTAATAAAAACTAAAAATAGCAGACTGCATCGCTGGATGGGATGTACAGTTTCGCCTCCACCCCCCCCCCCTTCACCCCCCCCCCCCCCCCAACTGAATAGAGAACTAAACGCCTTTAGGCTGGTTATGTTAAGTACGCCTTTATCTGATGATTTTGCTAGGTCAGACGTAACCTTCCTTCAGTGCTTGGAGGCCAGGAAATAAAACTTCAGTGCAAATGAACTTCCCGAAACGAAATTGTTCGCTGCTTATGCCGCATCACATTTAATTTGTTTTTGCTTTTTGTGGTTTACTGCCTTAATATGTATATTACGATGGTTTCTGAAGGATTTGATTCCAGGTGACAATTCAGACGGTTCCAAACTTCGTCGGTGACGGAAAGGTACTTTTTCAGCAATGTTGGGAGATTATAAAGCAATCTCTCCAGCAGACGCATGTAAATAATACTTCAGTTAACTACATTACCATCAACTAACCCGGCTCGACTCCTCACCTCACTAAGCTGATGATAATTCGGAGCGGAAAAGAGTAATATGGGAGATAGCTCATGCAGCATTGCCAGCTTCTGGTTCTGCACAGTTTGAACGAGTTCACATCTCAAATTGTTATGTTACGAGAGGTGTCTTGCATGACGGACCAAAAGATATCTAGGAATGAGCAGGCGCGCTCGCATGATTCATCACGGTGATAAAAGGGACACCCTAAACGGCCTGCTCCTTCAGAGTATGGTCACGCAGGTCCCCAACTTTGCAGACAACAAGAGAGCATGTTGGGTTAAGGATCGCTGTCCGCCGGACGTGTCGGCCTGGTCTCTGGTTAGGATGAACCTGTCGTTGCTTTGTGGAGTGACTTGTCGAATAGCAGTGATTGTAGTGTCGGTGTCGGGTTGCGAGCAATGGCTTCGGAAGTGAAGTTCATCGCCCTGTACAGGTACCCACCAACCGAGCTACCACCAAGCTATGTACTATACACAATAGCACAACGATGTTAAAGCCTCGTGCGGAATTAGCATTCACTATTAATCACTGTTATCATCATTAGTTACTTCAGATTAGTTATACGAAATAAGTTACACCACAATATCCCATTTTCGCAGACCATTTCTTGTCAAAGTCAGTTACTTCTCTCTGAGGAATAAGCGATCCGGTGAGAAGGTCCTCCAGGCGAGTAATAGCGGCGCCGGTTATACCAAGTCCGCTGCCGGGAGCGGACGGTACAGGCACGAGTTTCCGTAACTAGGTCAGAGAGCACCAGGAAGGAGTTAGTCTGAAACGATAGATGATACAGACTAGCACACCTTCGAATTGGGCCACGCTTCAGTGCAACGAATGCCATGGTGAGAGCCGGAATGAAAGAAACACAGCACAGACGAGTTCAACTTTCTCACGCGGATGCCTAAAAAGAATACATTATACTTGCCCCCCAAAATTTGTCACGTATCAGGTATCTGGCAATGCTGAAAACAAGGGCGAAGATCTGCGTCAATGATAGGGGGAGGGGAGGAAGTGCTGGCCAAGAGCCTGACAACCTCACTTCTCTCCATAACTGTGTTTTTCAACCATTGCGCCCAGTTCGTGACGAAGAACGACAATTTTTAATTACATTTCTGTATCTAGCACTAAAAAGCAAGGAGCATGTAATTCTTTCTTTGAATGGAAACAAGTCTTGTCCCCGAAATAATGCGTGAAAAGGTAGGCTTTGACCAATATCCAATCATATCTTCAGCTTCAGTTATACCTCAGCTCAATATATTGGGAAAATCAAGTCCACAATGTCGGCTCAGACCCTGCTTTCGACTAAAATAGTGCAACAAATGAAAGAACTAAGTGTCACACAGACTTATCTTTCAGGGCATTATTTGGTGCCCACAAGAATACCAAACATGCTGCTCAGATTTACAGGAGACTGATAGCTAAAAACAATCTGAATATCAAAATCACTGTTGAATTGCCGTCGTCCAAGGCAGGTCCGGTAAGAAACACACATTGAGTAGATGGTTAGGTGGCAAGCGTTCAGAATGGTTTCACAGTCATTTACAAAAACTGACGCCCCCGAACAAAAGCATGTGTACAGTGATTCATCCAAACCCATGATCATACCGATATCAATCATTTTACCGCGCAAGCCAAGCCATAGTATCATAATACCAATACATTTTCAATCAACCGACGTCAGCTATCGAGGAGTGTCACTCACTTCAGTTCCATTCAAACTACAGCACGGTGTACAGCCAAGGCCTGGTCACATTCAGGGAAGTTCAGAGAGTTGCATGTATAATAGCGCACCGCCACAAGTTGGCGAAAATCCTAATCATCATCAACCAAATGTCAAATTACATTGTTTTGAGAACAAAGTTAATTCCAAGAAAATGGTATTGGCTTTTGAAACTGTATTCACTAAACAAAGCTAACTCTCCACCTAACATCTATAAGTAATTATGGAAGCCTGATGTCGTAGGCAACATACTACATATCGGCTTGTATTACGATTGATTACGTTATCATTATGTTCAAAGCTTCGATTCACTGGCGATGAAAACTGCATTTTATTATTTTATCTCTTAGACAAAAAGGACTTTCGGCGACCGATAACTGCCGAACTAATATACAATAAGTGAATGTAAAGTATGATGTGTAAGGCTCTATCGTGAAATAAGCTTGTGACGCGACCTCACAGTTGTATGGCATTGTATGGCTTCCGTGAAAACAGGGATGGCAGTTACCGATAACTGATAACGTTAGATCGCAGGAGTGATCGTATTTTTATCATTTTTGCCAGCTTTGGTGTGTAAGAAGGTAAGTTCTGGTGAGACTTTGGTTTGACCAAATAATCTTCAAAACACATCATATTTTGAGCGTCTGGCCTTATATCAATTGAGATGCCTGGAAACCATTGACTTCCCAAGAAGGAAGCTCCTTCTAAGAGTGTGACAACATGATTCTACCAGCATGTGGTCAGGCGCTAGTTGGACACCATGACACAGTTTCAACGAAATCAGAAGGGTCAACACCGAGTCGATTATGTTCCACATGCAAATATCATATCAGCCTTGCCGACGTCCATGCAAATCTCATGGCTCGGTAGCAATATTTGTAGTGACTAACATGTGGTCCCACGGCCTACGGAACTAGTTTTACGGAACTTAAATACATTTGAAGAACATAGGCTAGATGATTCAAGCTATGCCACGCTCTTCTGGAATGCCTTGCGACTTCGAAATCGGCAAAGTTTACAGAGCACATGCGACGATTACGAACAAAAGCTTGAGGGAAAGTGTCATAAAAGCTGTGAATATGTGGCGATTAATGCTTGACCACATCTAGCATTATTTCTTTCGCTGACGTGTCATATCATATCCACCAAGAACAGGTTAGGCACACATAAGCCAGGGATTTAGCCATATGTTGGCATGTAAATGCCTGGAAATGAGATGTAGTACTGGCTCCTCGCACGTCAAGGACGTGAAAAGTCATCGGCAGGCACGGCTCCGTTTGGCAATAGAACCAGCGACATGTGATCCAGTACAACTGAACCATGACGGCTGAATCAGGGACAGCTGAGCCAGTAAAACATAACCTAGGGACAGCTGACTCAGTGATAACTTGCTCTGTGACAACTGGCTCAGTGGCTTCCGAGCCAGTGACAACTGACCCAGGGCAACGGCACCAGTGCCAACTATCCCTGTTCAACTAAACCAGAGACAACTGAACCAGGGACAACCGAACTAGGTACAATGAACCAGAGACAGCTGAACCGATGACGGGTAAACTGCGGACACTCTCTGGTCAGCATTTGGCAGCCCGTGGGTTCCACGCCGCTAGCAATGCCAAACAGAGCTTGGCAGAGATTCTGAGACTCCCGACTAATGCCTTCACGGGAGCCGATCTGCAGTATGAGAGTGCCGCGTGGTTGGTCCTACTCGGCCAAGTGACGACACAAGTCCTGAGGTCTTGCGGCGCACTGGCCCTTACCATTCGATCCGAGACGAGGACGAAGGCAGCTCTTTCATGGCTTGAGGCGTCGCCCGCATCTCAACGATTGAATTGAGCACCACTTGGCCAACACCATTGTGACCAGTGCAACGACGCACCTATGTAAAAAGCTACTAATGATGAAAACAATGCAGAATTGCAGACCAAGCACAACGTTTGGCCCACGTTCGATTACGAGAGATGCGAATGGGCAGCTGGGCAGATCTACCACTGGGAACACTTGAGGACAATGTCTCCATTGTTTTTTTAAGGACCGCGAAGGCTACTGGATACCGTTCCCACAATTTCTGTCCGTCCCTATAACGTGACCCAGAAGGTCAAAGGATGCACAGGTGGACGGACCAACTTGCTGCCTGATGCAAGTAGCGCAACCTGAAGGGTTGGATAACTGAAAATTAACGTGAATCATGGGTCCAACCAGGGGGAGGAAGGACAGGGAACCCCGATCGCACAGAACCGCGTTTTTATCACAACAGGTGGCTTCTGACTGAAGCTATTATATAACAGAAATATGATTCCTAATCCGTCAGTCTCCAGAAGCTGGCGTAGAGCTCACCGGTGACGTCATCGTTCGTGCAATGACCAATGGCGCAGATAGGATTTTCTTATGGGAGGGAGCTGTCAGCTCGGTGAGACCTAATCACGCTGATTTTCAGCTTCCGGTCAGAAACTATCTATGGTGCTCAAAGAAAAATGGGAGTCTAAGGGGGAGATATTCCCCCACCCCAGCACGCCTACGTAATTGCCATTTCGGATATTGTTCCGTGACGTCAAAAGTACGTCACAGGCTTTCAGCACATGCTGTGCGAATGAAAAAGAACTTGAAATGCATGCAGCCAGAACCGCAACCAAAGACACCTGTGCGCGAACACGGGCGCCTGGAACGCACCTTCATGCTCTGGTGGTTCAGAAACGGCACAACATAAAAACGGCCCACCAAAATGACTGTCAACCGCTATCAGCTACCCGCTTGCCACTTTGTCGTTATCGTGCCACTTAGGCGTCATCGTGTCACCATGCATTTAGTAACCACTGCACTGCAACACCACCCGTGACCAGGGCAGGTGAAGGATCTGCGTGCTATTAGCCGTATCTGGCAGCCACCCGTGACTCGGGATTGCTGCTGCTGCTGTTGCTGCCGGGATTTGAGTCGGCTGGACGGGAACGCACCCGCGGCAGAACCGAAGGCGACAGGCCCACTGAAGGCCGCCGCTGGGAATCCTGGTGCACTAGCGCTTCGATACAGATAAAAGAAGCTCTCGCGGGCTAAGGCGACACAGTTGCGCGTCTCGGCGATAAGGTCCGACAACACCACGAATGAGTTGCTCTGAAATGTAGCGGTCACAGTTGTGCGAGGTCAACACAGACACGACCATCGGGAATTACAGCGACATCCCATGACGCTGGCGATAGGACCCATGTGGAAAACATATGCAGGTCAAAAGTAAAATATCTTGTTTGCAATTGCAGTTTCTAAGGGCGGTCCGGCAGTTCGTGACAGGGGTGTCGTTTTGTGTACATGCTTAAGCGCAGCCGAGCAAAGGGAACGAGAGCCTAAGTCCCAAATTTAGAAGTTATGTATTTATATACGTGTTGTTATATACATATGCCAATGCATATGCACATGACCGTACAACTCTGCATCTTTGTATGCAAAAATGAAGGTATAGTTGGCTACAAATCAGGTGTACTTGGCCCTCATCAGCCAATTATCCCATCATTTTCTCAGCAAGCTCCTACCGCCGCATTAAGCATTTAGCTTCGTTTAGTAAATCAAAGGTGAGAATTTCCTAGAATGGTCACGTATATCATAATTATATCAACTATGCCCATTAAGTTCAGATGCAGCGTTTCAGAGATCTATTCTCTATCCTCAGATAAAGCGAACACCGAAGCGCACGGCTGGTCAGGATTGCAAACAAGATTGGACGGAGAAGAACGATATCGTTTTGCACATAAAACTCCTTTAGAGTATCAGTATAAGAAGGACATGTCAATATATTACGGACGGGTGATAGATGGGGAACTGGAAAGCAGGGCGCACGTCGCATGGCAAAGGTTACACAGTATGTTCAGTGTTTGTTAATGGTTGGATGGCTTCCCCTGATATATCTAATAACTCCAGCATAGAAAGCCGGCGTGGGAAGCATGGAAATTAAAAGAAGGTAGCCCTGTGGTGATTGCTGTCAGACTTTGTCGCGTTTGACTTTGTTGGTGTTGGTGTGATCCCGGGAAGGGAAGGTTAGGGGCACCACAGGTGTCGATTTGCATTTTTTGGGTGGGACACTGGCCGCCCAATGCTCAGTCTGACCGCCCCTCCCCCCCCCCCCTCCCCCCCCCCCCCCTCCAACGGTGAGTTTGGCCCTCCAACCTTCCGGTGCCCAAGCTCATGTAGAACATAACGAATAGACGCTCGAAACTACATTAAGTTCAAGGAAGGTTTCTACTAGTTGTTCCACAGGTAAAGAGCCAATTAAAGTGAAATATACGACATCATGTCAAGTTTACCGCATCTGACTGAGTTAGCCACACTGTCGTAGCTCCGCAGTCGCTCCGTGTTTACTTGAGTTTATTCTTCTGTTTTTTCCTGTATGCCGCATGTTTTAGACTACACGATTAATATTTATGGTTGACGATTTATTCCTATGGTATGGAAAAACGTTCTAGTTTTTTGCTACTGTGAGAGCGTTTGGCATTCTTCAGCGATGTTTAAGTTATACAGATTGCAGCGAGTTACAATGCTTTGCTACGACGCCTTATGGGAAAATGAAAACAAGGCGTTATAAAGTTATTGGCCGTCTATATTCGGAGGAACCCTTGAAAGGTGTCGACCTTCACTTCAGTTGCATGTATCATATCAAGGAAAGTAAATGTCAACAGATAAAAAAATCCTAAATGGGGCTTTTTAATTCGCCAGCAAACGGTCTTACAACCAATAGCAGGGTCCCATGCCCCGAGAAAAGAGCCTCCTGATGTATAGAGGACCCCATTGTTGAGAATGGGATGCTTGCGATTAACGAGTGGGCTTCGAGTATAGCCAAGAAGCCTCCTCACCCCAACGCAAAGCATCGTGATCCGAAACCGCAGCCACATGATGCATGAAATGGGCTTTTATGCTAGGAATACTCCATCATATGCATAAAACGGATATCCTGAATAAAAAGAGCGGTTCAACACGGAACATGGGCCTGCTCGTTTATATCTGGGCCTCCCTTGCCTTAAAGCAGGGTCCAATGAAGTGTACCATGCAGCGCGTCTAACATCAGTTCCTCCACACGACCTATAACATTGCATATTTGTTCGTCGCGATAGCTCGGTTCGTCAGAGCGCCTTTATTCCCTTGACCACTCGAGACGGTTAAGTCTGCTGCCAAGTCGGGAGCGATGAACGAGGAGGCAGAACACTGCTTCCTTGCCACCTAGTGTATCTGCGCAACTGGTGACCTTGACATGCATTCGCAAATATATCCGGGCAAGCAAGCAGCAACTACCCAAAGACATTTTTGCCATGCAAACGCAGCGTATATGTGATTGAAAGAAGAAATGGTGGTACGTTGGTTGGACCTCGGACCTTCAATAACTGTGGATATCTCCGCAATCGTATATCCATCGAAGTCCTCATAATAGTCCGCGTATTCATGCGTGGGAGAGTAGAATGTTTTCCGGCATGGTCTGGCCTCTTGCCGCAGATCGGCAAGTAGAAGCCGGCCAGACTCCTGTGAAGATAGAAACTTTGGCACGGCGGCAGGAGCCGTGAAATTTCGTTCTTCAATCAGGCGTGTGACTGCACCCAGAATGATTTCAAGGTGAAAGAAAAATGCATCCGACATAGATCAACCCAACGCTGAAATTAGCTTGTTTAAATCAACCATTTTTAGGTTGCGGGAAAGATCCCTTCTCAGTGATGCGTACATGACCAAGCTCGTGAATGTATCATAACTTGCCGGAGATTTTCCAGCGCGCATGTGCGTTGTTAACTCAAACAACACTGCCAGGACTAAATAACCCTGTGTTGATGCAGCCCAGATGGCTTAGTGATGCACTCGAACGCGATGGCAGATCGTGCTGCCGTCTTTAAGACGCGACGAAGCGGCTTCACGTCACAACTAACCAGGTCCATAACTGGCTAGGTCCACCGACTAGGTCACAGCCAGTACCAACTAGACCCACAAGAGCACTTGTTCCAACAGATGAGTAATCCTAAATAGGAACTTGTACACACCCGATGACATCCACATATTGCCGGCCGATTTCCATCTTTTGTCCACTCAACTTGCAACATACGTTCTCTTCAAGTACACCGGTCTAACAAGTCTGATCGCTATCTGTTCAGTCTAGCCAGTCTCACCGGCGTTCAGTTGACTAAATACTTACATGGAATGCGGTGAGTGAATCGGCGTGGGTAGTCTCCCAATAATAAGACAGCGGTGGTGTTGAGAACGGCTGCGATCGCCTCTTCTTCCTAGCCGGCGGGCCGGATGGGAAGCCGGGAGGGGACGGCGGCCCGCCTGGCACACACCACAGAGTGACGTCACCCAAACGTGTGACGCGTGTTAGTGGACGTCGCATATGACCTGGCGACGCTGATCGAGTTGCTGACGTTGTTTATGCTCCAGACTTATCGGGAGCGTGTTTGACGGCAATAACATACGCCTGATGAAAAACAGGAACGCGACTGACGCCTGATGAATCCAGATTGTTCGTAGAAAGTCTGAATAAATGATACTGGCTATTTATATAAGTCGTATTATATTGCTAAATTCGGTTAAGTCATTGAATAACCTTAACCAATTTATGAACATAGCATAACAATGTTTAATTCAAGCAAATGTACGACCCAGACCGGGTGCAACTGTTCTTTAAAACCAAGGCATCACAATACGGTGTCTGACCTTGCAGCAATGGTCGTCGGTCGCCACAAACCTCAAGTTCTAAAATGTAAATATATACGGGCTTAAACCTGGCCCGAGTATCAGGGCTGCTCAATACACTGACCTGAAACACGTAATGGCATGCCAAAGACGAACCAAAGATAACGACAAAAAGGGGTCACTGCAGTGCGTGGCGCACTAATGATTGAAGCTATGAAAGCAACTATGCATGTCCGCGAACCGTCTAGCTTACTGTTCATGATCAGGTCGCTGGGAAATTCGAAGGGCGCGAGATCATCATCCGAAATGGGCGGCGACGGCGTCGGCGGTGGTCCATCTGTGGGCCAGGCAGCAAACAGGCTTATGAGCGGTCAACAGCTGGCATGTCCACACTGCGAAGTTAACGTAGCATCCTGGTCAACTATCATATGCTGCGATGCGTATAGGTGGTATGTGCGTTTGATCAACACCATGGCATGTGCACCACAGACGTGCAAAGTTTCTCCTCTTGCAATCGGAAATATTCAACAGCACCGCCATTTCAAAGATGCAATAGGTCTGAGCCGAGAGGTTTTACTTTCGGCGCTATTTCACTTGTAAGACGTGTCCTGAGATATTGGAGGAAACGCAGACGAAAAGGGATCGCTGATAACTACATTACCACCGCAGCGTACACGGGGAAAGGGGGCCTGTCCCAATTAAGCGGTCACCAAAACATTCAGTCTTAGTCCGAATGTCCATCTGCAGATTCCGTTCGATCAAGAGGCAGCGAACTAGCCGACCCACAATGATCATAAACACTTCTACAGCACCACGCAGCGCAGGTTAAAATACATCACGTGCATGAGGGAGCGCTCCACATTCGAACATATTACATGTTGCATGAGATGTACTACAGTAATATCACCTATAACTATTATTATGCTTCGAAATGGAAAAACATTCTAAACAAAATAATTACTCTATTTAGTAAATATTCCCTTGAATACGGCACTGTTTGATTACGCCATGGAACGTTTAAATAAAGTTAGAGGTGCTGTCAAACTGGCCGTGCAAATTGCCAGCCTACTACTCACCTTTAGCACTTCAACTTATCGAGAGGTGGCGGTGGCGGTGCTGTCGTGTTTACTAAAGTAAATATAAGTATGAACTGGTGTCTTGACCGTCTTTCGTGGTGTTCTCCCATATTCTTGCTGAGTTTAAGTTGTTTGCTTGTACTGACTTACTCGGTTATCGCGTTAGTAGTAAGTTATTCTATTGAGAGTCCTATTTCTATAATGACTAATGTCCACATCCAGCTTCTTGTATTATGTACCAAAAAACGTAAGTCGTGCTTAAAACTTGCACTGTCTGCACACGTCCGTTTTGCCTGGAAACCGTGCTCACGAACGCCAGAGATGAACGACTCGACGATTATATTCTTTTTGACTTTGGACGTCTCACGCCCAATGGGGTGGGGGGTATTTAAACAGTATTTCTGTGGCGTCATGCATGCCTGATTGACCTTAAAAACAGTCTGTACGAAATAGTCTGCATATCTTCACGAGCGTGTTGCTCAGAAACTAGTGTGTTTTCTGTCTTAAGAGGGAAGGGCTGCAAAGTGTACCGAATGATCTTAAGACGGCCATTCCAGTTCAAAACCACACTCAAATGTGAAACTACTCCTTTCAGGCAGTCACGGTAAGCACGTGTCCTTACTTTTTTGCTTTTCACGTACATGTGATATGGCTCTCAACAAAGGATGGCTACATTGCATGCATTTCAAGGAAAACTTAGACCGTGCCTCGCCTCATGTTGTTGTGTTCCTATCACGTGGTTGTGTCTCTTTACATGGTTTTGCGCGTCTGTGCTCCTCCTCATGGCTTTATATGCTCCTTTGTCGGTTTGTGCCCGTCCTCATGGCTCTGCTTCCCCTTCTTGAGGATATCCTGTATGCGCTCCCGAAAGTATCCATGTAAATGCCACGCGTCTTGCCCGAAAAGTAGTGCAGTGTAAGTAGTGCAGTGTAAAAGTAGTGCACGCTTATCTGTGGTATTGTAAATAGCCTAAACCGCATCGACAGAACTCACATTTAGCCCTGCAGTACTTGTCGTCGTCGATCCGACTGATGCCAAAACGCGAGGTGAGAACTCGAAGTCTCTTATAGATGTCAGACAGCGTGATCTTGTTCTCATCGCCGAGTAGACTCACCGATTTGTCAACCACATCTGCAAACAGATTTCAACGTGATATAACACCACACATTCACCTATTAATTTATTTCATCACACATTCAAGTATTCATTTTTATCACGCGTTCAAATATGCGGAGCAAAAAATACGACATTTTATGCTACAAATCAAAAGTTGCATACGTAGAAAGGAAAGGTTCTCCTTTCCAACAGTGGGAATGCTCAAAACAAGGGCAAACAAATTATTATGTCTGCAAGAAGTGTCGTAAGACGACATACAACATTTGCACCCAACAGCATCTATTGGACATTGTTATGCGCTGGGTGATCCTAGTTATATACTCAATCAGAGGCCCACTGAAATATCAGTTTTGTTAGGATTTCAGAACTGATCTTCTCGCTCGAGGTATTTGACCTATCATGAGAAAATCCGTGAACCAAGCCGTCTCAAGCGTGTAGTCACATGTTGCATGGTAACACGAGCATTAATATGATCATTTCTAATGGAAATCACTGCTCACAAACAAACGTGCACATGCACGGACGGTGCATGGTGTGGTCGCTTTAGTACGATGGAGCCATGCGCGTGAGAAAACAAAAGAAAAGGGAACTCTAAAAAAGAAAAGGCTGGGCAGATAGCATTTGGTTAACGAGCTCAAGAGTTGGTCCAAACGACAGTAAAATGACGTGTATCATGAGTTCATTCATGGTGAAAGGTCACATATATGTGGAGTCACTCATGCCTGGATCATTCGCAATGGTTTATGACGTCATTCTCTGACTTGATGACGTGGTGAGGGACGTCATTCTCCGGCTTGATGACGGTGGTTACTCACACAAATCGTACAAAACCGCCATCAACTTGGCCTCTGGGTACAATGGTGGCCGGAAGTACGGAATGTTGAGAATAAATACGGACAAACGGAGACGACGAATCACTCATAGACGGGGATCATCCACCCAGCACTCACCGAGAGCCAACTGTCACCCCGCGGACGGAGAGTACCCACCACTCACCGAGTCCACAAAGCGAGCCGGGAGCAGCCGTTACCGTCAGATGCACGGTGTCCCGCGGCTGGGCGCGGTCAGGCGACCAGCGCAGCGACACCTGGTTGTCCAGACAGCGCTCCGCAGCGTACGACTGGCTGTCCGCGATCACCTCGCCATCAATCACCATGTAGACCAGCACTTGGAAGCCCGAGGACATGGTTGACGTCACTGGGATCGCGAGGGTCACCTGACCTGTTGACACAGACCGGTTGGTGTTTCCCTGCTGCCCGTGGCTCGCCGGTTACATGGGTAACAGCTGGCTGATGACAGTATGCAAGACGCACAAACTGTTACGGGGCTGACATCTTGGCACAGACACATGCAAACTCCAAGATGGCCATAGTTTTCTCACACCTCAGTCATGCACGGCATGATCAGCTGTGTGGTGTCATCGCCACTCCTTCAGCTATAATGTCCGTTATTTACTGTGTACTGTTCTGGGCCAGGCGCTTCATATGCGGCGGTGATCGACTGTGTTGGACGCAGTGCGTGACGCTGTAACGGCACAGAGCGGTTTCCATCGCGCGTGTAGCAAAATCATGCATCAACAAGATACTCAACTCAGGCCAGCTCTTAAATTACACGTTCTGCATCACAAACAGCCCAGTGTTAGGGACATATCTCGTACCGCTCCGTCTATCGTAACACTGATTAGGCGACCCAGCCGCACCAGCCGGTGACGCCTCACTCACCGACGGGATGTGACCCGGACACCTTGGGCAGGTCAACGACCCCGCCCTCCTGCAGCGCAGAGACGTCGACCGCCTCGGAAAACGTCACCGGCACTAAGTCCGCCAGCAAGATGTCGCTGTTGGCCGTGACCTGACGCGCCCGGCGAACACAAGGTCAACACGCTTCTCCGACTGCAGGACCTCAGTTCTGCTTCGCGAGTTGCAACAGCATGACCGCTAAAGGCACAGTCTTCAAACAGTAGCAGGAGGTCTCTGTCCCCTTATAAAGCATGGCTACTACTGACGCTAGTAAATAACGATGCCTGGAGTCTTGGTATTTGTTCTGGATTGCCAGTACTAGAACCTTATGTCTAACGCCTGATACGAGTCTGAATGACATGAAGACGTTTCCCATTCACAGCACAACCCGAGCGTTCAGTTCTCTACAAGAAAAGTGCCTTATTTTACCTCCCGTGCGGCATGACTTCTTTATTTGCAGCTTTCGAATGCTGTCTGTACAACACACTCTCAACGTAGCTCACCTGGTAAAACAGATCGAACTGCGATCCCAGACGGGTCGTGAAGAAGACGTCAATGTGGGCCTCAGTGCCGCACGTGTGCTGTTTGTCAGGCAGTCGAAGCAGCTGCACAAAGGCTCCTGACTCAGAGGACCAGCCCGTGATGTCGTACTTGAGACTGGGCGATGTCATCCATGTTGAGACGGGCCAACCGAGGTGCGAGAGCCTACCGCTTCGGCGTTCCGGGTGCCTGGCCTCGGTAACGAGCGGCGTCGTGGCCTGCAGCGCCAGAGAAACCGGGCTGACATTCCACGGAAGTCTGACCGCGAGGTGAGCACGAGAAGCCGGCTGGTTACCCACGCGTAAACGGTCACTGGAATGTCGCTCTCGCAGCGGTTAGATTTTACTGACTTTACATCACTGGCATGAAAGTGGTGCCGCTCTTAGTGCATGTGACCGACGAATGGTCAATAAGATATCGCAAGGTACGACGTCTTCAAGCCTGAGACCTTTCCACGATGCTATACAGGGATAGATTGAAGGGCATTATTATTCAGAACCAAGGGAAAAGGCGCAATACGGCCTTCCTCATTTCATTAAATGGCACATGCACGCACGCACGCACGCACACACGCACGCACACACGCACGCACGCACACCCATCCACACACACTTCATCACCCTTTGTATTACTACTGCCGTCCTCATTTTTCCTGGCTTACTGCACGACACTGAACAGAGTAGAGCGACTTCGAAAACTAAAAGAAGCACGTACATGTTTGACCAGTTACTTGCTTTGCCCCAACAAACAGTCGAACAGGGGCATGTGCACGGTTACAGGATGAAGGAAAAGTGGCACAACTCAAACATTTTGTCTGCTGACCTGGGCTAACGAGCCGCAGCCACACAACATTTGCCGCGTGGTTTGAAACAACAGCGCGCATACACACTATGCTTATGATTACGCCTCTGCCCCTGGTTGTTCAGCGTTGACATTTAGTTGTGCAGATATCAATGAATCACATGAGCGAGAGGCACAGGCCCCAGGAGCGCACCATGTGCGCACGTCCCTGAGGCCAATGTCAAACTGAACCAATCAAATGGGAGGCCTTGACTCCATCACCCGCTTCTCCTTCCGTCTCGGATAATGGACGCTTTAAAGAACTATCAATTACCTGAATGGATATCTTCTCGATTTTCTGATCTTGAGGTGGCACAGTGAACGCGACCACACCTTTGCTGTCAGACGTGACGTTCAGACAGACCGGATCGGCAGAAGACCTTCAAACGTACAGTCGTGCAGAGTTAGAGAGCATCACTCCCCGAGTTACTGGGAACTTCCCAGTCATTGGGGACTACACTCGCTTAACATGCGTACGTGTGACGTGACCAATGAATGCGACACGCTCGGGTTGGAGGCGGGGTCAAGTTGAACCCCTGATATTTCTTAAAGCAAGAAAGTTAGTGACACCAAATATACAAGATGGGTAGGCCTGTGTGTAAATTTACTCGTGTAAAATTGTGAGGTCCCCGTTTTGGTTTCCGAACGGCGTGGGCAGCCGGGCCAAATTGTGCATAACTGTAGACAATTGAAGAACAGATCGCTTAGTATCAAATTTGGATAAAGTTTGTAAGATCACTAACCTAAGGCGCGTCACAGCTGGGCCATGGACTCAGGCAGGTAAATTTTTAGCGAATCGTTCTCATATCTGAGCTGATGACAACGGTAATCTTTGTATTGCATGATGCAACAAATGAGTGTAAGACGAAGCCATACGCCTCTGAGATACTTTCTTAGGCAACACAACAATTGAATGAACAACTTACATTAACCTTGGGTTAGGTATTAAGGCCAGATCAAAGTAAAAACCTATTTGTTATTACTCTAGGGCTTGCTGGATGAGGTAGTTTTTGGCGCTCATTTGAAACTTATTGATAACAAGAACCGCATCATACACCCTCCATCGACTTCGTGAGCTCAAAAAAGGTCATTGACCTAAAATGAACCAGGTGACTATTTTGTTTTTAGGATCAGACTGCCTAGCGTAATCTTTGTCGCTTATTCAAATGCAAAACTCAAAGCATTCCTGCATGATTTTGGCTACCATGGCCTTTAAAAGGTCAAACAACTTCACTAACCTTAAATGAACATATCAGCTTTTCTTAGAACAGGCATTTAGGTTTCGAGGCACTTTTTAGGCCCATCTTGAAGTCTGAGTTTGTTTTACCTCACTTGACCCAAACGTCATGACCTATGTACCTCAAATTTTGACCTAATTGAGTTCTATACAGCCCAAGGCACCTTGTGAATTTGGTGTCTTTAGCCCCTCTTAGTTTCTGAAATCTCAGGGGATCAAATCGACACCCACCCGAGCGAAAGGCATCCAACCGGCCAACCGGGCACGTGTTAACCAAAAGTAGCCTGGTGTTAATTTCGAGCCAGTGACCCTATTTGACCTTCAGAATGTAAGAGTGACCGGAATCCTACGAGGCTGTTGTGATCTTTTAAGTTAAATATGCATCAGGTGTAACGTTGTAAGGAATGTAACTAACACGAATGAGTTGGTGGGGGTCATTTTAGACCTGTGATTTCCTCCGATCTTCTTTGAGTCAAATAAGAGGCCTCGTGACGTCTCTGTTACCGCGAAATCGAAAATGAGCGTCACAAACTACCACCAGAAACAAGCTTTCAAGTAGAAAAAGTACGAAAACGTTTTGTTTTGACATCGATATGACCTTCAAGCCCGACCCAAAGTCCGTGGAATTCATCGCTATTGTGAACTTACTTGTTTTATTATCCAACACACCATCTCAAGTATATATGAATCCGTCCAACACTCCGTTGTCGCATCAGATTGAGCGATTCACAGGGACCTGCCCTCGCTGAGTCATGACCTAAATTTGACCTGGTGTAGGTCAGCGACCCGACAGCTTATCAATGCTTTTACATCGAACAATCGACTAGCAAATACCCTGCGGTAACGCAAAGTATGACGCTGCCATATAACGTTGTTCAAAAGTTATCCTAGAAAAACCCTCAGAGGTTAGGTTGAATACCACCCAAACCACGCCCTTTGTCTATTAACCACGTGTGTTGTCTGTTATCTATATACCTGTATGTACCGAACACCAGGGCTATCAGCTACTTCAAATTTTACGAGGACTGGAAGTTGATTAGTTCATTTTCTTATGCCGGTCATTCACATCCAGTAACTATCATTTCAGCGATGGCAAAGCCCCAAGTTAGTTACGATCCTTGCTTGAGTTCAGCGTGAGAGCACATGCCAACGGTTCACGTATGAAGTGGCACATAAATTGTGGCGTTGTAACAGTGTAAATTGGGTGGTGTACCGTGAGAAATTTTCCCGTTTTTTTTTTGCCGAAAGGGAGAGAGGCTCCAAGAGAGGTTTTGAGCATCGACGCTCAGGTACCAGGCAATTACTTTGGTCCCGTTGCTAAGATACTATTTGAGTTATTCCGAGAGTGCCGGCAATGCCACATCAAATTCGGTTATAATATGGCCTTAAATTTTGACAAAAATTTCACTAAGGTCCAAATATAAAGCACTGAAAATTGTGATGCTGTTTAATGCCGTACCGAGTTCATACATGGGTACTCCACGTACATTCCTAACTCCAATGATTGCTTGATATCCTCACCTCATCGGTTTCTCTTGGGACATCGGAGTTTGGTTATTTTCTGCAAGATAGCTTACAACACCCAAACATCAGTGCACTTCTGTTTGTAAAACTTATGATAGCAGGCACTGATAACGCTTAAAAGTACTCACTTCGTGCCGATTCCGTCCTCTGTCGTCGTCCAGTGGGTCTCAAAACACAGCTGGACCAGCTCACCGGGAGCTGGTGTGCCGTCCGGGTGGCGTACCCTGATCTGAACGTGGAGGCGGACACAGCTGAGTTAGGGACGGAGCCAAGCACTTCCAACTACACTCGACACAGCTGGGTTAGAAACAGAGCCAAACGCTTCCCACTGCACTTGACACAGCTGAGTTAGGGACGAAGCCAAGCACTTCCAACCACATTTGACACGGCTGAGTTAGAGAGGAAGCCAAGCACCTCTCACTCCGCTCGACACAGAGATAGATATAGAGCCAAGCACTTCCAACTACACTTGACGCAGCTAAGTTAGAGACAAAGCCAAGCGTCTTTAGCTTCACTTGACGCAGCTGATTTAGAGACGAAGCCAAGCACCTCCAACTACACTTGACGCACCTGAGGTAAAAACGGAGCCAGTCACCTTCGGCTACATTTGGAACAGCTGAGTTAGAAACGGAGCCAGGCACCTCCAGCTACATTTGAAACAACTGAGTTAGAGACGGAGCCGCTAAGCATCTCCAACTACACTTGACACAGTTGAGTTAAAACCGGAGTCAAGCACCTCCAGCTGCACTTGACACAGCTGAGTTAGAAACGGAGCCGCTGAGCACCTCCAGCTACACTCGACACAGCTGGGTTAGAAACGGAGCCAGGCACCTCCAGCTACGCTTGACGCGGCCATTCGGTAGCAGAGCTCCATGACAGACACACTTGGCATACCGACAGACAAGCTCTGTTATGTATAGATGGTACAGCACGCTTAGCAGGCTTCCTCGAGGTTGGTGCATCCATGCACAAGGGAGTTTCACTGCTGCGGTGTGTAGCGTACGTTAATCCACACATCTGAGGGGAGCGGGGGGGGGGATGACCCAGGATAAAGTCACGAGATCCCATTTCGGGCGTTGAAATACTTGTGGTAAGCAAGACACTCAAGGCACTATGCGCTAGTATTGATACGGTTGCGGTATCTAATAACCTGCTGAGTCGGAATGCAGTGCAAGATTCAACGGTCCCCATCTGAACACCGAGATTAACGTATCAACACCACAATTAAGAGAGTAATCCTGCAGATCATTTACAAGCCTGCTGCAAGTTACAAGCACATTGCATTTGAAAAAGGCAAGACAGAGAAAAGAGAAGTGCGAAGGCAAGAAAGAAACAGACGAATAAGCCAATTATGTTAAGAGAAATGCTCAGACAGCGTAACTGCCGACCAATCAATTTTCTTTCGTGTTCTCCCAATATTCTGCAAAGCCTAGCATTGAGCAAAATTTGTTCTTATCTCAAGTAAAACAAAATTCTCGTTAAGAAGCTGTGAGGACACAGACACCTAATCCAAATTGAGGTCGTATATGGCGCATCAACGCCAATGCACACTGAACATGAATGAATCGATAACGTGTCTATATATGAATGTCTCCAAATATTATAGGAATATTCCACATCCTGGTAATATGAAGTGCAAAGTTCAATGTGACCCCGTCGGTGCTTTCTTGGCCCGTTTCAACTGGGGTGTTCGCCACCGGAACCAACTGTTCGCTTCGGTGAAGGTCGTTGGGAGCCCAAACCATCCCTGCTGGCTGCCCCAAGGCTACGGGCAAAATACAATGCCATTTTCCACGCGGACAGTGTCTCTCTGCATGCCTCCATCCACAAATCAGTGAGGAATCTAAAAAAGTTGCAACACGACCTCTATGCCTTCAAAACAACTTTGCATTCAGTGGGTTTGGCACATATGCACCTTATCGGTGTAGGGAAGTCCTGGCTTGAAATAATTGCTTCTCAAGTTGTAGGTCTCGAGGTTCAGCCTCTGGTATTCTATGGAGAACGTCTTGGTGCCCTTGATCGTGACTTCAGTGCCATCCTCTGTGAGTTCGGCGGTGGCCTCCAGCCTGTACGGCCTTTGGATTGTTTTTCCGAAGCCGAGGTCACTGCCGCTGACTCGAAACACGGCACAGTCGGCCCCGGACGTCTGTCAAAGCGTTCACTGGAGTCAGACGGAGCCGCACCAGTCAGTGGCCGTCTGGGGGACGTCTCAGCACGCAACACGGTCTCCACGGGTGGCCAACCAAGGCAGCTTTATATGACGCAGGTGCTGGTATGCTATGCATATTGCGGCATCCATGCATATCCTGCGCCACTTAAACAGAGGCGGATAGTTGACGGTACGTCATGAATTAAGGCGCTGGCGTAAAACTTAAAAAGTTTTAAAGCAAAAAAACCGATTGCTCACGTATTGTCGGTGAAAACAGGGTTATTTCAAAGACAAAAGAACCATGTCCTGCCAAAAGCGACGCGAATGTGACATTTACTGTTTTTCTGAATAGCCTAAAGTGACAGAATTTGAGCAAACTACCAAGCTCGAGTCAGGTACGTTCTAACTGACCGGGCCTCATTTCACAGCGAGGGATGACACAACTGTTATGAAGACTGCCATGGCTCCCTAAAGCATTCGATATATATATATATATATATATATATATATATATATATATATATATATATAAATACATACATATTCGTATCGCTCTATCTCGCTCTCTCTCTCTCTTCTCTCTCTCTCTTCTCTCTCTCAGCTCTCTCTTCCTCTCTCTCCTCTCTCTCTCTCTCTCTCTCTATCTCCTCCTCGCTCTCTCGGCCCTTCGCGAACTCTCTCTCTCCCTTCTCTCTCTCTCTTCTTCTCTCTCTCTCTCCTCTCTCTTATCTCTCCCTTCCTCTCTTCTTTCTATTCTCATACGGGACCCTATCTCTCTCTCTCGTTCGCCTATTTATGTCTCTACTCTCCCCTCTCTCTCTCCTCTCTCTCTCTCTCTCTCTCTCTCGTTCGCATTTGATGGTAAGACCACGCTTGCACTTACGTGCCCATCTCGGGTAAGCTCCTGACGACGATAAAAACCAGAAGAGACACGAATCGTTGCATTCCCTTGCACCGGCTTGTCGTAGGTGTACCTAAAATTGGTTGCAGTAGTCTTACATTGAACCTAGAGTGAACAACTTCCGAAAAGCACTTGCAGTTAGTGGACTAATAAAGGCATGCATCCTACAGACATCACAATCATAGGACGAAGTAATCACCATTTTGGATGTTTGTAAACGTAGGAATCCATATCACCACACATACGCCTCACACTAGTGCGGTACGGATAAACAAGCGTGTCAGTGGGTCATCGGCACAGTATTCACAAGGGGTAAGCGAGCAAGCGTGACGCGAATGTCCACTCGTCAACGGCGTCCGCAATACATCTAGGAACGTGACACTTTGGCACCCACCTTCCGCACACCTTCAACGCCACTTCTTCGGCATCACCCAGAATGAATGGAGGACCCTGGATGTTGACCTCGAACCTGGGCAACACAAACTCCTCGACCTTGAATGTCTTCTTCACCTTACGCCCGCCGCTTGTCGCTACGTGTATGTTCCATTCACCCTGCAAACAACGTGACAGGGAATAGACAGGCTTTCGGGCCACCAGCCAGACGGCACAGGAGATCCCCCGTGGTGGTCTGCCGACAGATTGTTACGCACTGAGCAGCCTTGCATGCTGATCCTGCAGTGACTGCATGGCCTGTCCGAGAGATAAGCGTTTCGAACCGAGCTGAAAGCAACCAAACCAAATTACCAAACGTGGCACGGTTTCATTATGTTTGACTGAAGCTGTTGAGTAAAGATATCGATAGCCCACAAATACCTGGAAGTCTAAGCAAAATAGACCATCAATTCCTTTTTCTGCAATAATATCTTATAGATGATTTTAATTTATATTTACTTATCAAACGAATGTTACAGGCCTTCAGTATGCCAGGGCATGCTGATAAATCAATGGTATTAACAAGCCAGTGGAATGTATTGCAAACTCTGCACATGTTTATCCACCAAAGTACCTTTGTTGGCTGAACCATTGTCTTCCGATTCACCCATCCGTGGCGGAGGGTGATCGAGCCCCTGCCCCTGACCTGGAATTGCCCTTTTGGAGGGTAGGGTAGCTGCCCCTCCCCCTGCCTCTCCAATTCCCACTGGAGACACATCGCTGAAGGCAGAAAATCGCTTGCATGTGTAATTTCATGATTGCTTGAAATCCACCCCACCCGACGACACGTTCTGTTCATGTTCCTGTTCATGTTCCTATAGCGTCTGGCAGGGGGACATCAAGCACCAATGTTCCAGCGTATAGGGAAAAAAAGATGTCAGCGCCCTTAACCATGTAATCATACTATGCACTTGTTTTAAACATTAAGTCACACATCAGGTTTTAAATAAATTACGGACCAACAGAAGCTTGGCATCAATGCTGGTACAGTCTTTGTAAACTACTGATTTCCTGGAAAATTCTGGAAAAGGAATTCCATATTTGATATCGATTTGCTATGGAATTCCATATTTGAAATGAATTTCCTATGGCCGGTAGAAATTGAACATGCATATCAAAGTTATCACTCAGAACACGCCGCCTTTGTAAACCGCTGCTTCCGCGCGGAAGTCTGCGCCTCTGTACCCTGATCGAGCATATATGCTATGCTGATGTAATCCATCTTTCAGCAACTTAAGTCATGAGTCATGTTAACGAAGAAATGATAATACCAAATGTCTTGCCTTACCATATCGGTATGTCTCGCACAAATCACTGATTAGGCTTGGTGCAGTCATATCCTCACCAGTTTGAAGGAAGCATGGCGACTTTCATGATCTCAGTGGCATTTAAAGGTCAGTTACAGTATGTGAATCAAAATTTTCGGGCTGTAACATCATGCATGCCTCGGCCATCAGTTCCTTGTATTAAAGTATCTGGCCCATAAAACATACTGTATCTTGAGTTGACCCGTTATCCAGGATTTGTAAACGTGTACTCTATCACTTTACGTACCTTCAGAATTGCGGCTTGAGTTACCATGGATTTAACCATACACAACCGGCAAGTTCTAAAACTCTGTTGCTTAGGTTAGATCTATGTCCACTGCATCCATTACAAGCGGAAAAAAAATACTAAGCATAGATATGCATAGAGCCGATGTTTTATAACAACCACATTCATCATATAATAGTGCGGCGAAGCCACATAGAACACCAAATATAGTTTACGAGTGGGCGTCAGGGTTCCGAAACGGATGTACTTGAAACGAATATACAAACGAAAAACAGCGCGGCTCCGTTTATTTCTAGCACAGCCCGTAACCGACAAGAGAGATGGTAATTACGAGTGGCACTTTGTATATATCATGAGCCGCTCAAGCTCCCCCCTCCCTCGCACAGTAACCACACTGTTCGCCGGACACGTTACGTCTGCACCTATATCACTCACACTGAGTCACATAGGACTGGGTTCCTCTGACAGCTGCATCTCCAGCTGCACCCCTCACCAGGCTGGCTTCATCGGCCAGCCGCATCTCCAGCTGCACCACTCACCACACTGCGTTCATCGGCCAGCCGCATCTCCAGCTGCACCACTCACCACGCTGTGTTCATCGGCCAGCTGCATCTCCAGCTGCACCACTCACCAGACTGTGTTCATCGGCCAGCTGCATCTCCAGTTGCACCACTCACCTGGTTGGGTCCATCGGCCAGCCGCATCTCCAGCTGCACCACTCACCACACTGCGTTCATCGGCCAGCCGCATCTTCAGCTGTACCACTCACCACACTGTGTTCATCGGCCAGCCGCATCTCCAGTTGCACCACTCACCAGACTGTGTTCATCGGCCAGCTGCATCTCCAGTTGCACCACTCACCTGGTTGGGTCCATCGGCCAGCCGCATCTCCAGCTGCACCACTCACCACACTGTGTTCATCGGCCAGCCGCATCTCCAGCTGTACCACTCACCACACTGTGTTCATCGGCCAGCTGCATCTCCAGTTGCACCACTCACCTGGTTGGGTCCATCGGCCAGCTGCATCTCCAGCTGCACCACTCAACTGGCTGGGTCCATCGGCCAGCTGCATCTCCAGTTGCCCCACTCACCTGGTTGGGTTCATCGGCCAGCTGCATCTCCAGCTGCACCACTCACCTGGCTGGACTCCTCGGCCAGCTGCATCTCCAGCTGCATCACTCGCCAGACTGGACTCCTCGGTCCGCTGTAACCCCAGTTGCACCACTCACCAGACTGGGTTCCTCGGCCAGCTGCATCTCCAGCTGCACCAGCCCGCTCTGACCAGTCACATCTGTCCACTGCGCCACCCTCGTCCCGGCCGGCGATTCGATGTAGATCTGCGGCAACTGAAAACAGTGGGAAGAGAGAGTCAGCTCGACCACCTGGATGGGCGACCGACGAACACTTGGATAGCATAGTGGGACATGACACCAATAACGCACGGCTAGGGGATACTTACTTCAGTTACACTAATGACCTTACTACCGTCATGCATTAACCGGGGGCATGAAGAAGTATGATCCTGCTTGCACTGCGCGTGTAAGGACCGCCAGGCCCGGCCAGTCTCCCGAGTTCATGGGCCGGGGACGGTAGCAAACAACATTTCTGTACCGTGATTTTTCCCATGATGCAATATTGCACGTTGACAAGACAGTTCCTAAGGAAGGATAAATATACTGCTACTCTAAAAATCTGGCAAACTGGAACAAATTCCTGCAAAATCCCACACGACCAACTATAAAAATATCGACTCAACGGAAAGGGGCTGATACGGCACGCCGGCCATGCTTTTGATTGTGTCCTTGGACATTGGTGTTTATGCTATTTTTCAGCAGGCGGTAGACCACTGCCCGCATTGTCTAGCCCACCATCGCCGCGCATGGTCTTCTAGAATGTACACACGTGCTAGCGTGCCATGCCCAAGACCAGGAGCATGCGAAGCCACTTGATTGGTCAAACAAAAGTCACGTGATTACTTGCACAGACCGATGGAATGAAGAAAACAAGACCACGCTTATAAAATAAGTACTGCTGAACCATAGATGCGGGGTGGCAACATCAAAGGCGTGACATACAAAGTTCCTGGAGTGGATTGAAGGTTGTTCAAGGTGAGTGGCCCTCCCTTTAAGAGCCCTGGGCCGGAATTGTGTAACATTTTCGAAACTAATTCACAGGAATTTAAGCTGCCAGCGACTAAGTTGTATCCATTTTAAGATGTTATTTTCAGCGACGGGTGCATGCTCGTGCGCCTCGGGAATGCTCTAATTTCATGGAATTAAAATGGTCTTAATATCCGGATCAATTTTTAATTTGTCTTACTCCTGCTGATTTTGCTGCTTTATAATTTCACCAAAAACCTAAAGACTGAGTGGCTTAAACTTTTAACTACCCATAGGGTGCGCTTGTACTGACACTATGCGAATTACGGGTAACGGCTACGCAGTGTGAAGAAGACAGCAAAAGCAGAAGAAAAGGCAAAATTCAAAGCATTGTACCAGCTGAGACATCATGGTGAGCGTAGCAACAGATTCGGTACAAATAATACTGCATAGCCAGCAGTGGGAACTCCACGTGCCCAATGCCAGCGCTCGGCCGCAGACGATGCCACCGGGTACGAGATGGGCCTTGGGACTTAACAGAGGCAGCAATGGCGTCAATGAGCCTCAATTTTAGCCGGCGGTAGACGGAAGCGCCTGCAGCCGGAGGTTTGCACGGCGGCCGTGCAGCACCGCGGCGCTATCGGTGCAGGCAGCATCCGGCGGCGGCCCGCGCGGTAGCTCGCGCTGGCACATGGGCCCCGGCCGACCGACCGCCCGGCGGATGACGTCAGCGTTTGGTCGGTGGCCGTGCCTCCTGAGCGCCGGATGCCGGACACCAGCCGCGCGCCGAGCGGACGTCGTCACGCCCGTGTTCTCCGAATGTGGCGGAGGCGCCGGAGGAGGTCAACAGGTCACGTCACCGCTCCGAGCCTGCCGCCCTAACGCCTCATGGACGACAAATAGACCGTGTCACGCCCCAACTGAGCGACGACACTTGCCAGAGCAAGGGCGAGAGCTGAGGTGGGGCGTCACACGTGCAGTCGCGAAATCCCGAGATTTCAACACAAACTGCTGTGAAATCCACCGCAATAAATTAATACTTGCATTTAAGTTACACTTACAGAATACTCAAAGATTTATGTCTCCACAGTTAAGACTCTGAAGTATTTGCCAAAAGTCCAAGCGAAACACTGTTATCGAGTTATACTTCCATGCTGTTTTACTTTGAAAGTGGGACGGTGAGTTAGCTCGTGTTCTATATCGTCCGAGCAGCCGAAAATATGTCAAAATCCAGCTACCTGCTCTTGCAGGCGCTGGGGCTGGAGCTGGAGATACCAAAAGGTAAGCTCATCTCCAGTCACAATCTTCCGAACAAGTACTGCATTAGGCTAAGAAAGCAAAACGTCTGTATGTCCACACACCTGCGGATCGACGCTCCCAGACAACCATCTCAAACGCTGCTTTACGTATGTGTTTTACTACCTTCGTGAGTCGATGTTTAGGTAGGTATGTAGAGCACGAGGTAGGAGGTCTTAGGATTGCAATAAGCACTTCCGATTTATTACAGTACAACTTCAGTGCATTACCTTGACTTTCTAACGTAATGAATCACTGGATCGAAAAATATATTCCAGGATCTGGATTTAGTCAACGTGTTTGCCTGGACGCATGCGGTATATTCACTGTGTCCTTCCCAAGTAAATGGATTGGCCACAAAATCGGCTTACGAACCTTTTAAGCCTACTCATGCTACAGCTGCTCTTAACCTGCTACACAGCTTCACTTGAATTGGCAATTTATCAAAACGCACTAGACAAGTCTTACCATATGATTCAAGCAACCAAGTGAGATATGTATTGGACTGACAAGCACGGGCAATATATCGATTCGGGTCGGATTTGAGTTGTAACACGCCCTCGGGGGGGGTCATTTTGAGCCCCCCCAAGGCTTTTCCAGAATGACTTCCGAATAAATGCAAACTTTGCATACCTGTAGGCAATTGAACAAGGGATCCTTTGGTATAATAAAATAATTGTACCTTGCAAGGTCGCCGACCTATAGCAGATCAAAGTCAGATCGTGGTTGTTAGTGAAGGCTATTTCTAGGGAATCGTTCAATTTGATGCAACAACGGAGTATTATGTCAAACCATACAGCTCTTAATGTATATATATATATATATATATATATATATATATATATAAAATACGGTCTATTAGGTTTAGCCATGTTAAGCCAAGCCATGCGGATAGTTTCCCAGGCAATGAAACAATTTCAGTCATAGTTAAGGGCAATTACACTCAGCCAGAGTTACGCATGTAGGCCAGACCGAGGTCAAAATAGCTTGTTTTACTCGAAAGCTTGCTGTATGGGGAGGTTTCTGGTGCTCCTGTTCATTTACCAATTACAGGAGGAACAGCAGCCGTTTTCCATGGACTTGTTAAAGGTCTGGTTAAGTCACTGACCTCAAATGTCTCAGGTCATTTTTTTTCTAGGAACATACCACTTGGCGTAATTCCGGCGTAGTTCCTGACGTTTATTCCAATGGTAAAGTAGAAACAATATTGTAGGTTTTTCGCTCTCCTTGTTTTTGAGACCTTGGAGTCGTTAAATTGGCCCCCGCCAGAGCGAAGGGACTCTCTCTCTCTCTCTCTCTCTCTCTCTCTCTCTCTCTCTCTCTCTCTCTCTCTCTCTCTCTCTCGCTCTCTCTCTCCTCTTCTTCTCTCTCTCTCTCTCTCTCTCTTCTCTCTCTCTCTCTCTCTCTCTCTCTCTCTCTCTCTCTCTCTCTCTCTCTCTCTCTCTCTCTCTCTTCTCTCTCTCTCTCTCTCTCTTCTCTCTCTCTCTCTCTCTCTCTCTCTCCTTCTCTCTCTCTCTCTCTCTCTCTCTCTCTCTCTCTTCTCTCTCTCTCTCTCTCTCTCTCTCTCTCTCTCTCTCTCTATCTCTCTCTCTCTCTCTCTCTCTCTCTCTCTTCTCTCTCTCTCTCTCTCTCTCTCTCTCTCTCTCTCTCTCTCTCTCTCTCTCTCTCTCTCTCTCTCTCTCTCTCTTTCTCTATCTCCCCCTCGGGCACTCGTCTTGATTTGCATGAGCTATTGGCTTTTGATAAACCTACAACACGTCTTCAGAACAAGAAAAAGTCGCTTGCGCCGGAGACATCCGACTACACGGTGTAACTTACCGGCTCCGAAATCGGCCTCAGTTTCCCGTTGACGGAGAGCACGCGGAAGCGGACCAGCTGTCCCGGCTTGTACATGTACTTGTCTGTCTGAATGAAGACATGATCTTCAGGCTCGTTGTTCGAACTGAAACGTGCGGCATTCGTCTGTGTTGCCAATGCTTTTTAAAAAAAATTGCGGGCGAATGTAGTTCGGTTCAATGTTTTAGACTTGATAATCGAATCCGGTCCTTAAGTGCGCACACATCACGTTTGTGAGCCGGGTAGGCGGACATCAGAGAACGGCTACCATGCAAACCTGGCTTCATCTTCGAGACAACAGTCGCACTTAACGACAAACATCAAGCACGCGTGCTACACAATGGTCCACTGGTCACACACTATACACAGATGGACTCATTATACGCTGTTACGAGCATTATGGTATTCTCCAGCCGTGGATACACCCGGCTATGGTGTCAGATCTTCCTTTCAAATAAAATGTTGAATTTTCGCCACTTATGTCACAAGAGGTTCTGTATTAAGAAAAAACCTTGTTAGTAGATTAACACGCGCACGGGTGGGAGCCAAACTGTCTCCCACCGAGGGTTTTTCCAAAATGATTTCCGAGCGACGCGACGTAGCCGCACCAAATTTTGAATAGCTGTAGACAACTGAATAACGGATTGTGTGGTATCTAAAAATTGGATGTACTTTGCAAGGTCGCTGACGTGAGATAGGTCAGAGTCAGGTTATGGATTCAGCTAAGTCAATCTCAAGGGAATCGCTTAATCTGATGGGACAACGGAGTGTTAGACGAAGCCATACATCTCTGAGATAACCTCATAGGCGTCACGACAATTGAATGACCAAATTAAATTGGCTTAGGGTCAGATATGAAGGTCAGCCTAAGATTAAAACCAATCTGTTTTATTACTCCAGGGCTTGCTGCTAGGGGTAGTTTTTAGTGCATGATATGAACCGCATTAGACATCTTCCAGGGACTTCTTATAGGTTAGAATAGATCACCGACCCAAAACAACTCAGGTCAACGTTTCGTTCTTAGGAACATACTGCCCAGATTAATCTTGGTCCGTTATTCAAATGCATAACTCAAAGCAGTTTTCTGTGATTCGGGTCACCATGATATTCGGATCAAACAAGGTCACTGACCTAGAATGGGCATGCGACCTTTTACTTAGAACAGGTATCTAAGTTCCGAGACACTTTGAAGACCAACTTGAAGTTTGACCTTGTTTTAACCTTACTTGACCCAAAGGTCATGACCTAGGGGGCTGAAACTTTGACTTAATTTAGTTCACGTACAGGCTAATACATCCCGTAAATTTGGTGGCCCCAGCCTTCTTAGTTGCTGATCTCTCAGTGGGCAAATTGACCCCTCACCCGAGCGAAGGGTACCTAACCGGCCGTCCGGGAGCGTGTTAAAGTGCATCAAACAACACATCGGTGTAGCTGTAGCCCCTGTCATTTCTGCAATATACACGCTGACTTTCGACGAACGAGGGAACACGTGCCAAATCATCACTGGTAGGCCAGGCCTTTACACCAAAAATGCCTTTTGCAGTGTTCATAAGGAACAATAAGTATCCACATAAACAATTTGTACGACGCCTTTAGTACACTGTAGTGACCAGACATTTTCTTTGACTTACAAGATAGAGATGTGTTGATTTCCTGAGATGGTGTAGTTGACGGCGGATGGGTAAGTGACTTCCAGACCCATCCAGACGGCATAAGCGTCAAGCTCTGGTGTTTGAACCTCAAAGCATGTTTCCTTGGACCCACCTGAAATACGGCATCGTATTAACGATTGTTTTAATCGCATATTTGCTGTGCGTTCGCTATTTTCCTCTTTGAGGTGCGAGTGTATCTGAACCCCGTAGGGCGGATGGGGGCTTAACGAAGCCATGCTTGCGCGAGGAGCCGCCGGTTTCGCTCCAAGACGCTGAGCCGACTGATGGGTGGCGTGGCCAGGAAGCGCGCTCATGGAGACAGATGGTGTGGCTGGCCTCGCCGTCACCGGATGGGTACATTCAGATCGGTCAGTGGTGACGATGTCAAGCAATTTGTCCGCTCGTCGAGGAAGCGAGCAGCGACCGATGATCTCCGGTCGGGCTCGTGCACTGCTGTGGTGTCATGTCCCCAGTTATGAGAAACAGGCATATGCACTGCGAGGCATTCATTGCCAACACGCCGGCACTATCAACACGTGTGTTTACTGACTTTAAGCGTCAATGCATACCCTGGGGTGCAGTTGCATATCTGAAGCTGGAAACAGTCGTTTATCATGATAATCATAATGCCCGAAAACATCAAGCACGCTTTCTGACTTGGTGGCCCGATTGGAGTGGTTGAGGGCGCTACATGTGCAGTAGTCTCCCATTATAACATGATCCATTCGTATGTCTCTAAGATGTTCCAAGGGCGACCAAAACTTTTCAGCCCCTCTTATAGCTTTTAGTGTTGCTTATTATAATGTTTTATTAATGCCAGCGGATGGATTAAAATCGTTGCCAGGCGTTAAGAGACTGGCAGAACATTTACTAAAGGCGTCGATATACAGCTCGGTGTTGTGCACGACACAAATATATCAGGCTAGATGCCACAAAGATAAGATCTTCACAGAAACTCTTACTGGTTACCTTGGTTTTCAGCTTTATTATTGAACTGTGGGTGTGCACCGTGCACCCAGAAATGCCCTTTAATCAAGAAGACATATTGAGAAAGCTCGACACGGCCGTAACTAGACTTCTCTCGCTGTTGAGACCAGTGCAAACGGCATCGGTGTCCAGCTCAGACTAGATAGTGAGTGACAAGCTGTGGCCTCACACGTGGTCACGAGGTCCCTGGGCCGCCACACCCCGGCTCGGTACTCACCCGCCACGCCCGACACCTGCTGGGTGTGCTGTGCGACCGTCGGGCCTACTCTCACTTCTCTTCAACGTCAGCGTCAGGTCGCCGGTCTCGGGCACGTCGAACAGGGTCAGACACACCCGCTCAGGCGAGCCAGCGAGGAAGACTTTGGGCGCTGTGAACAGGTACCGGCTGCAACAGCGGACCAACGCTACTGTCAAAGCTGGAACAGCTGGCCAAGCTACTGTTGACATGGACGCGAGCGTTGATCTTCAAAAACCGCGTGACGTCATGCACGATGCGTTTGGTGCAATTCATGCGTTCCATTGGGTAGTTTCACAGTATTGCATGAGCAAAATAAAGAAACGGATTCCCGCCTAACAGGTTGCATTGACTCGTTGCACGTATTGCATTTCAAGGTTAATGACCATCGATTTACGTGCAAGCAGTTAGCATGGGCAAAGAATAGGATTGGAATGTATTAAAATAGTTTTCGAAGGTGGCTATTGCCGTGCGTGGAGACTTTGCAGCCCCTCAAAACTAGCACTTGCTGATAAATGACACTGGTGGTAAAATGATACATTTCTGAAACGTTCGAAACGCGTTCTGCCCTCAACTTTGATCTCCGGCAGAAGTTGCAGCGGTGACCTCCACGCTGGAAAAATATTTTACCAGCCTTGTGCGGCATTATTTACAGAGAGCTTTCAATAACGATACAGTCACTAGGGTTTCATTTCCAGACCACTTTATCTATACTTCTTCCGAAACCCGGACGTTTTACTGCTAAGCATGCGCCTTTATGCAATGCGCTTGGCAAACGAAAAGCTTCGTGTCATTCACGTTGCCCGTTAGCCGACAACCTATGCGAGTTCAGCAGACATTTTACAAAATATATTTTGTTCAAGCCAGACGGCGTGGTCGTTGCACTTACGCTATAAAAGTAAACAAACTACAACTACAACGCCCGCAATATGCGATACTAACATAGAACAACCTTCTACTTAATCAAAATTTTAGAACAATACACTGTTATCTATTAATGCATTATTGCCTTAACTTCGTTGTGCTATGAATGTGATTGCTTTCGCAGTTTTTTTTTTTGCGTTACTCTGTTGAACATAATAAAGCCAAACTTGGACGTGCTCAGCTCAACGAATCCTGCCATGTGCGAGCCAAAAATCCTTTTTTGCGATTCTTTACAATTCGGTTCTTCACAAAGGACCACCTGGTAAAGTAACCACGTTTGATGTAACTCATCGCATCATTGTACATAGCTGCCACCGTGATGGCCTGGAAGAGGCTGTGTTCTTAATCTAGTGGCACCCGCCTTAGGTCTCAGGGCAGGCCCACTGTCTGGCCCGATCCACGAAGGTCAGTTGGCTGCTAGCCAGAGAAGGTCACCCTGACACGGCGCAGCCGCCCTGTTGACATTGCACGGCACGAGGAAATGCCTCGGTCGCCGTTTTGGCCCTCATGGTCTGCAGACCACTTGCATACCACATGCAAAAATATCCGCTGAATCTGAACCACTCTATGTGGGTGGATTGGGAGTGTGGTCACTGCGTTCGGCTCTGAATGCGCTCTGAGCTCAAAGGCACCTTTCCACATCACCTCAGAGCTTCCACACAATGACTCACACAGCGCAGCATCCGTGCGCTGTGCGAGTCATTCGATTAGCAATATCTTTTGCTTTTTTAATTCATCTGTGCTAGACTCCTAAGCCAGGAAAGGCCACCGACATCGCCTGCCTAACGCCCTTTTTGTTACCAAACGGGAATAACGCGAGTGAAGTCGCATGCACCGCATGCAAGAATGTTGATTAAACCAACACCCATGGCCATTCTTCATCAGATCCATTCGGAAAATTCCATGGGGATCTTCCGATCTCTTTTCCGCACACCGACCGGCCGGGCCTCGAGGTGTCGGGCCTGAGAAACGTCTTTGGTCCTTCGTGTGCTGGCGAACTACTTCAGGAATCTGCACGCTCTGCATACTAAAGATAAACAGCCAAAAAGTAATCAACGGGGAGCCCGGGCGAGCACGTGCGGCCCCACGCGGCCTCGCGCGCTCACCGTCGCGTCTGCTGGATTCCGATGCTCGGCAAGCCCCCCCCCCCCCCCCCCTCTCCTCCCGGCCCCATCCCCTCCGACCGGAGACGATGGTCTCCACCGCAGCCGTCTGGTCGGTATCAGCGCTGCGGATGGGCAAGCAACAAACATCTGCTCCACCGCCGACTGGGCTGTGGTTGAGCGCTGGTGCTGACCTGTCATTTATTGGGCACCGTTTAATGGAGCAGGTTCCAGTTACACTGGCGACATTATTACGAGTAACAACACAGGCTGGCGACTTGGGTCAACCAAATTGGGCTCCAAGGAGACCAAGGAGAAGACGGCCAAACGCATTGGCGAGTCTCGCGCAAACTATCAGGTACTCTCGCGCGCAAACCGAGCACCCGCCAGTTTGGGGGCGTTTTTATCAACGGAAGTGAGACGCTGGCGACCGGAAAGGATGAACACGTGAAACCAACGGTTCGACGTGCACGTTTTAAGCCACTGTACAGGCTACGAATCACTTATCGACTTCAAAACTGTCCTTCACACTGGCGCACCAGTGACCGACCAAAAAGCAGGCAGTAACATATTTTTCCAAACAGGTCGTGAATAAGATTCACTGTGGTTTAAATCGAGAAGGGTCCGGCCATATGAACTACGCGCGCTAAGCATGATTCTGACTTGTATCAGCCAAAACCAGCTGTGCTTGGGTAATGATTTGACCCCAACTTCCAAAACCAGAAGTCATTCCAAATTTTACGAATTGCATCGATTGGTAGCCGGACCTTGGTAGCTAAAAACTAGCCAAAACACACTGATGGCAATACATTTGTGTACGGAAGTTATACATCGGTGGGCCTTTTTCTGCTAAGCTCATGGAGGAGAAACGTTTCAATGCATTAGTTGGTATGAATTCCCGAAGGGGACGGAATCCATGCGCCTTTTGGGACATCCTCAGCGTGGTGATAACACTCATATTAGTCGCATCTCATACGTGCGACGCCGCAAAAGCGTCATACTAGTCAGTGGGTTTATCTGGTGTCGCCGCAAGTTTGCGCTGTTTATCGAGTAATGATGGACCGCTAGCCCTGCTGTGTTGGTATTATCATAGCTGCATCCATACCTCGAACCGTGTTCAGTATAAGGGCGGTTCAAGACGCGCTGTTTTGGCGCGGGTACGCGCTACAGGGGTTTGTAGAACATTCAGAGAAGCTGCCAGAACATATTCAAGTACAGTAGCACAGCGATATGTGAAATGAGGAGCAGCGAGAGACGATGGTCTGATGTTGGGTGCACATCGGCAGCATGCCATAATACGGTTTTGCGTGCACGTACTACGAACGCATTCGCCAGCTTGTGCTCTATGCTCATAAGCGTGGCCAACATCATGTGCTGTGAGGAGTCCGCTGCATCTTTAGTGGCGGCCAAAATTGTCAGCCAGCCAGCCGTACAGGTAGCAGTTTGCACCGCTACTGTTATGCTTTATTGTGCTCCCCTAGTTAATGGTAATTTACCAATGGTGCAATTGACGAATATCAAAGCGGAAGAAGGCCCCATCCTAGGGAATTGCTAGACTCCTGCCATGAACTACAAGTTGCTCCAAGTAACTCAATCGTTCAGGGAACCTGTTTGCTTCTCTCCAAGCTGTTCGTGGCGGGCGAGAACGCAGGACTCACGATACGCGGACTTGAGTCGCAGGTCGCGGTCGCTATTTACTTGTGGCTGGGGTGGCCTGCGACCGGTGGCGGACGCTCCAAGTCTGATCAAATTAGAGGTGGGGACATACCGTGGTGAGCTTTACAGCATGTCAAAATTTCGCTCCCAGATTCTGCCGGTAGTGTGTAAATAACACTGCGCATTCATCACTGAGCTGTCCTAAAACCGCAGTCAAGTCGAAAGTCTTGAGAACCAAAGAAAGCAAGCTGCTCACATAAAGGAGAAGCGAGAGGAGATATCACGAAATTCCAAATCACACGGCAAGTACCTCGTAACTCATTTCGAGCGTTCCAGGTCAACACACGTCTCAGCATAACGAGGCAGGCGAGTACGCTGGTGCAATGGGGGGCTCCTTGATGCAGATACCGACAACAGACTCCTATTTCGGTGCGTTCACCGTTCGCGCCTCTCGCCCAGGTGTCATGTCAGGCGCGAGTACCGTACAATGCGCGTGACAAGTCCCCTACTTAGAGCGCGCTATCATGTACTCAACAAGCGGTTCGCCAAGTGCAGTTGGCACGAGGCCTTCTTCCACGCGGTCAGTGCAGCTGAAACGTTTTCACACGCAAAGGAACGGCTGCTGAAACCTCCCAAAAACTTCCAGAGACCTGGCTAAAAAAAAACTCCAACGTGTCACACTTAATAAAAATAACGCCTATTGGTTCACTTATCTTGTGCATCGCTGAAAATATTTAGATCTCTGCTCACTTATAGCAATAGTGCATGTTTACGGACGGAAGCGTGGTGCCCCTTAGCCAGCCAAGTAAGTTTGTTCCTGTCGTGATAAGGCAGCAAAGTGCATGCTGATTTGTTACTCCTATTACAGGATGCATTCTACGCCAGCCCGAAAAAAATCGCAAGGAATGCTGTGAATAAATCAGTTTAAATGCAGATACAAAAATGGCAAAACTTTCCTCGAGGCTTGCACCCGCGCAAATATTTTGCTACACTCCTGTCCAAATGTGCTGCTCTGATGATCGGCCCCGATGATGGAAGAAAGACATAGAAGGTTCACTTACCGCTCGGCGGCCGCTACACCACACAGGAGAAGCAGCCAGAGAGGCGTCATCGCTGCCCTCCTCCGACGACGGGGAGCCGTCCAGTGATCCTGCAGCGCCGCCGTCGCCTTGTTGTTACCTCGCCAGCCGGTAGGTGGCACTGGATGAGGGCGGGGATACACCGGCGCAGCGCGTGCTCGGTATTTGTGACGTTGTTACAAGACCGCCTGGCACCGCTCGCACGGTGACGTCAGTGGGCAGTGCGCAGCAGGATGTGTCAACGGGACAGCAGGAAAACCTGGGCGGCGTCTTCATTCATATACCAAGAAACATCCTCCGGTCTGTGCTTCCAGGATATGAATTCCCACAATCGCGACGCCAATAAAGTCGCGCCGTCTAGATATATCCAAGCTCTTAGAATGTGTGCGTCAACGCCCACCTTTGACCTGACCTTTCACATCCGTATCCGTGAGCGTGTTTATGCAGTTTAGTCCCCAGCTGCAAGCACCAGTGCATGGATGGCACGACAAACAATGAAGCCAGAGAGCCATCCGGCTGCAGGCGGAGGCTAAATTCAGCCATGGCGTTGAACATTACATAGATCTAGTAATGAGGTGTGGATAGATTCGACCCATTCCTGTCATTTGCACCCGGCTTTGGAAGACATTTGTTCTGCTCGAGGACTGGCTTCTACTGCAGAAGTTGGCCAAGAAGCTCGCTATTTCTGCGTTGTTTTCGTTGCGTTTTCTTTGACGTTTTCGTTTTGTGTTCCATTTACCCTAAATGCATCTGTCTTAGGTGCTGCCACTCCGTCTGCCGCCCGTCCACCAAGCATGGGTTACGCGGCAAGAGGAAGGGCATCACTGTCACGGACTCAAACTCGGCCTAAGCATTGATGCTGACCTGGATATTAACAGTATTGATACTTCACCGGATGTCGTCGACGGTATTGATACTCCCCCGGATGTCGTCGACGGTATTGATGTCCTCCGGATGTCGTCGGCGGTAGTGATACTCCCCTGGATGTCATCGACGGTAGTGATGTTCTCCCAGATGTCGTCGACGGTAGCGATACTTGCCTGGATGTCATCAACGGTAGTGATGTTCTCCCAGATGTCGTCGACGGCATCGATACTTACCTGGATGTCGTCGACGGTAGTGATGTTCACCTGGATGTCGTTGACGGTAGCGATGCTTACCTGGATGTCGACGATGCTAGTGTCGCTAGCCCTGATGTGATTCCTATTTCAGCCCATGACCTCAGCCCCCTCAGACCTCTCCTCTGGATCCCGCACCCCCGCCGTGGTGGCGTGACGTGATTCAACTGGACGTCATGCAGCAGCACAGGCAGGGGGCATGTGCCCCGTGTACGTGTTTCGAGGGGCCCGTAGGGCTTCTCGGGACCTACGATTAACGGCCCGAAAGACCGGCCGAGGTCGTATTCAGGGGCCCGGACCGAAGGACTGGGCACGTCAATACCATCCACAGGGCCATCCGCGCTGATCAGGGGCCCGCTAGGTCAATAAGGGCCCATATGTCGGTCAAATACCACCAATAACGCATAGTCGGCTACGCGTCTGCATGGGCCTGTGGGCCAACTCGCCAAGCACGGACGAAGCAAGAGCCAGAAATTTAGATTGGTCGGGGCCCAGTGTCTATCAGGACCCCACAGCCTAATACGGGGTCCTGTGTTGGTAAGGTGCCCCGAGTCGGTCAGAGGCAGTGTTCAAGCAGGCCCGAAGGGCTGGTCGGATCTCATTCAGGGATATCAGACCACGGAGACGGGCCCTCAGATGACAGTCAAAGGGCCTTTGCGCCGATCGCGGACTCTCTGAGTCCATATGATCCTATATGACGGTCAGGCACCACCAGCACTACAGTCAGCTACGTGTCTGTACTGTCTCCGTGTGCTCCGTGTCAGCATGGTCATCACGTGTATGCCTGAGAACGTTCCTTATTTTACAGAATCGATTGGTGAAAAAGTACATCAAAAGGTTTGAGTCTGTGCGCTCGAAATATGGTCTTAAGAAATAATAAGAAGCAGCGATGTCTCTAATAAAAAACAGCGATGGTGTTCGTAGCCGTTTTCGTACCTCTTAGCGGCGCCCCGCGCCGCGAGCGAGATCGATTGTTGTGAAATAATGTTTCTAGATGTCTTCCAAAACTAATTCACACCGTTCAAAGGCAATACTTGGTGTATCTTTTACAACTTTGAAGTTGTGCTGCAGACAAATGAACAGTTACAGCGACACAAAAAATAGAGATTCCACTTTTAACCTTCCAGTTCCACCATCAGATTCCAGCACCACTTCGCGGGGTTTTGAATGTGAATCCGCTTAATCTATATATCTAAAAATGACACCGGTGATGTATGCGGCCGGACAAAGGTACTCACATCAGATGCGTCATCTTTTTTGTTCATCCGTTGGGTACGGCTTAGTGTTGGCCACAGGGCCGACGCCGCGCGGTCAAAGTAAAATTGTATCTGTAGAATCCAAATAAAAATTCTGACGAAGCTTCTGAGCTCTACCGGTTTGGAAAAAACAAATTGGATCACTGTAAAATGGAGAGCGCGGGTGACGCATTCCATGGAATCGCTTATCTCATAGTTTCTACAGTTTAGTGATCATAAAATTCAGTTAGAATTTATTTTGCGGTAGCCTTTAGCTTCTATTCCAGTTGTAGAACGTAAAAATGGAAAAATATAAATGAAAAACGTGCCATTATTAACAAATCGGCCTGCCAGCAACTACTTATGGGGGGGGGGGGGAGGGGTTCCGCGATCAGGCGACCATTTGCAGTCCTGCTCCCCCTTTGCAAGGGCTTTGGCTTCGCGCCTGACGTGACTCGTAAAAACATTCAACGTGTCCAACGTCACTGACAACGACCTCCATTCGACTTGACCGCTCCGGTGCGGTGGTGCAGGCAGAAGATGACACAGGAGCATGTGCCCCCCCCCCCCCTCCCCCGTAAGTTCCGTGTGGCTGAAGGGCCATCAGACCGACAAGTAAAGACCCGATCTGAGGGCCCGAGAGTCCGAAAGGCTCTCTGGCCTGTCCGGCTATGCAGGGTTCATGCCGGCTGTCCGGTGCGGCCCGATGTCCGTGACCACCAGCCGGAGGCGTATCGGGGTTCTGCCTGCACCCAAGATGACCACCACCGCCTCCCCTTTCAGAAGGATCACCTGTCAAGTGAATGACGTCAGATGTAGGCTGCACGGTTTCGCCCCCAGACCCTTTCGCGACGACGAAGTTCAGCTGGCGAGTCACAGATCTGCCTATGTCTACTATCATGGTGTTCCTGACCGTTGACCAGCGGTGTGAAACTTTCCGCACTGGCCGGGTTCACCGGGCGCACACGCCTATGTGCCATTGTCCGCACCTCCGAACCGAACCGAACCGAACAAAACCGAAAACGCCGAACAAAAAATGGCCGCCACCGCGGGCCAAACGAGGGAAACCGAGCGTCACCGCAACGCCGTCACCGCAGCATCACAGCGTCACCGCCGTCACAGCACCAGCGCACAGCGCTCATCTGGTCGGCCCACAGGCAGCTTCCGCACAGTGAGAACCCCGCGGGACGTGCCAGACAAGCACGCACCGGTTTTCAGAAGAGCCGGGACACATCCCGATCCAGATCGGTCTCCGACTGAAGCAGACCGTCGGGTGCCTCCGGTGTCATTCGCACTGCAGGATGCGGTGGACAGGGAGTTGGACAAGTGGGAGGAACAAGGAGTAGCGGAGAAGACGCCGCCGGGGAGCGGGTGGGGGACTCGCAAAGAGGAACGGAGAAGACGCCGCCAGGGAACGGGATGGGGGCCCGCAAAGAGTAGCGGAAAAGACGCCGCCAGGGAGCGGGTTAGGGGCCCGCAAGGAGTAGCGGAGAAGGTGCCGCTAGGGAGCGGGTGGGGGGCCCGCAAGGAGTAGCGGAGAAGGTGCCGCCAGGGAGCCGGTGGGGCACCCGCAAGGCGTCATCCCAACGCGGAGCGGTGTTCGCATCTGTGCAGACTACCGCCGAACCGTCAACCCGCAGCCCAACCCTCAACCCGAGCCGCTACAGTATCCGATGCGAACGGCGTAGGAGATGGTCTCCGGCATCAGGGGAAAGAGGTTCACGAGGCTGGACTGCAGGAGTGCTTACCTGCAAGTCGAGGTGGATGAAGACAGCAAGAGTGCGACGACGGTGACGACGCACCGCGGAGACTACCGGATGAACTGACTACCCTACGACAGCTCCATCTGCGGAGTACCGTTCCGGTCCACGATGGATCAAATCACGGCAGGGCTCCCAGGCACAGTCAGCTACTTGGACGACGTGCTGGTGTGGGCTGACACCGAGGAGCAGCTGGTACATCGTCCGGAGACGACTCTGGCGAGAATGGAAGAGGACGGCATCCGACTGAGGCGAGAAAAATGCAGCTTCAATGACTCGGCAAGCGACCTACCTGGGATGGCGTCTGTCAGCAGACGTCCACCGACTGCTGGTGGGGAAGACGGAGGCTATCCTGAGAGCTCCAGATCCGAAGAATCAGCAGGAGTTGAAGTCGGTGATAGGCACTGTCAGCCGCCATCAACGAATCTTACCGAACCTCGGCACAGCGCTCTCGCCGCTGTACGCACTGGTGAAGAAAGGCGAGAAGTGGCGTTGGACTGACCAATGCGTTGCAGCAGTGACAAATGTGAAGAAAATGATGGCGCCAACGCCTGTGCTGATGCGGTACGCAAATACACGGAACGCAACTACGCGCAAATGGAAAACGGAGCAGCTGCCGTGTCGTTCTGGGTGCGACGCTGTCACCAGTTCCTGATGGGTCTACGTTTCACCGTGGTGGTGGAGGAGCAGCTGCCGTGTTGTTCGGGGTGCGACACTGTCACCAGCTCCTGATGGGTCTACGTTTCAACCTGGTGGTGGAGGAGCAGCTGCCGTGTTGTTCGGGGTGCGACGCTGTCACCAGTTCCTGATGGGTCTACGTTTCACCCTGGTGGTGGAGGAGCAGCTGCTGTGACACATGTCTGGCCGCGAAGACACAAGTCTGGCCGCGAAGCTTGGAGTCTTTTGGACACGCTGAAGCTGAAGCTCAAAGCGCAATTACGTTGGGCAATGCCCAATGT